ATTGATAGTCAGCAATCTATCATAATCTATCCCCATTCAGTTTCTTTCACGTTTTGTTTGGTGTATCCCCACAGGTCAACCTTGGATTGCTATACACTTTCCTTTGACGCCGCGAAAAAAAAAGGACTTCGGAGGTCGGAATGGGCCAACCTGATTTCGGTGCTCTTCAGCGTTTCTTGGTTTTGGGGCACTGGCCGGTGACCCGGGGGGATCATGGATGACTTGTTTTTTGGGCAGAGTACCTAAGGTAAGCCATGATCAAAAATGATCAAAAATGTGTTGTTACTTCAAACCAGCCGTGCCAAATCGGTGACCCCTACTGTAATAGTTGGTTAAGATTCGTTGTGTTTGTTGGTGGTTTTTATGGCCCAAAACGTAGAGTAAAACCAACGTTTTTTTTTCCGGATGGTGTCACCTCTAAGGGGCAGAATCCCAGTCGCCAGTGTTTGTGAGAATTAGGAGAAATTTTGGAATGATATGGATGCGATTCTTTTGAATACAAGGTAAACATTAGACGATACTTGTGGATGTGACGTAGCCATGAATAGCTTAGTGCCATATCTGTAGTAGAATGCATTTTTAAAGGCCATTGCCATACTCACTTCAATTGTCTTGGGGTTGCAGCTATAGCCCAGTCACGTAATCAACACTCCGCCTTACTAACACTCGTCCCGCACAGCATTCAACCGCCTTCCCAACTAAACGGAGGTTTCAACGAGAAAATCATCAAGGGATTTTGCAGCCTGCGCCACGTTTGATTACCAAAGGGTATGTCAATTGTGTCAATACACTTCCTTATTTTTCCAATAATGTTGGCGGCCTAATAATAAATACCCCCCTATTTTTTTTTAGGGGGGGGTCAACTTTCCTATAATAATCTATTTGTGGGAATCTATAGCTGGGATCTATAATCTGATAGATTCTCCATGGTTTTGTTGGGTTTCTGATAGATTCTGAATGGATTTGGTTGGGTTTCTGAGAGATTGGCGAAGAGTTGGCAAGGCGGAAGTGGACATGGAAGTGGGGGCGGTGGTGGAGGCGAAGGAGGAGGACGAGGAGGAGGAGGAGAAGAAGGAGAAGAAGGAGAAGGAGAAGGAGGACAACAAAATCGGAGTTGCGGAAAAAAAAATCCACTATTGCCATGCCTGGTGCAGGTTTGTTATTGCTATTCTGGGGCTTGCAAAGGGGGTACCCTTTGTGGACCTGTTTTCTTGCTTTTTTTGGTAAGGGTTTTATAAGGAAATCAGCTGTTTGGTAATTGGATCAGATTTCTGGAATCTAAGCTTTTGCTAATTAAGAGTGAAGGCTGCTTTGAAAAGGATTTGCTTTACTTGACTCTTTTGGCAATACTAAAAGTAAATAGAGCTAATTGACTTTTAGTATTGGAGAAAAATTGGAGTTGGAAAAAAAGTTTCTACTATTGCCATGTTGGGTCCACTATTGGCCATGCCCTCTGGACAAGGTCTGAACATGACTCTTTTGGCAATACTAAAAGTAAATAGAGCTAATTGACTTTTAGTATTGGAGATAAAACTGGAGTTGCGGAAAAATGTTTCTACTATTGACAAGATATCACTATTGGTCAGACAACATTAAGCGTTTTTGCTCAAATCAGTTCATTTGGTGGGTGGTTTGGAACATTTTTCATTTTTCCATATATTGGGAATGTCATCATCCCAACTGACTGACTCCATCATTTTTCAGAGGGGTAGGGCTCAACCATCAACCAGTCATTCATCTTAGAAATGGTGATTTTCCCATGAACAAATGGTGATTTCCTATGATTTTCCATGGTTTTTTGTATGTCTACCAGAGGGTCGAAAACAGCCAAGGCGCCCGGCCCCGGATCCCCGGTGCACGGCTGTCGAGGTGCCCATCAACGTCTACCCCGTGACCTGGGCCTCGCTGCCGGACGCCCAGTGGCCCGAGATGTGCCACGAGGACAGCGAGACGCAGGGAGAACGCGCCTTCGATCCCTTCGTGCCTTGGAAGAATTGGAATGCTGGGGAACTTGTCACCATATGTCACCATATTGATCTAATCATATGAATCATATATGATATATAGGTGTTTCCCCCAAAGAGCTAGAAAAATGTAATGTTGCTGTTGTTGATTCATTTTTTGTCTCTCTCTCTCTGTATTTGTGTGTGTATGTGGGTGTGGTGTGTGTGCCCGCCCGTGTTTTTGGATTGTCTTTTTTCAGCAACTGGAGGATGGATTGAGCCGACAATTCGGAAGTGGAGTTTCAATACTTGAGCAAAACAAAGACAGTAAGCAACTATGGATGGGAGTGTGAACCAACAAATGCTGGCTGCGTCTTGACATTTATGCTCAGACGATCCAACTGAAAAGTTGTTCAGTTCACTCCTAAGCGGGGATAACAACTAGGAACAGAAACCGGAGAATCTACAATCTGCAGGGCAGACCTGAAAAAAAGGTCAAAATATAGTAAAGTGATAAAAATCTTGGCCAGGTGGTGGGCTACCTGATAGAATGGGCCTCAGCCGTGTCATTAGTACGAACAGATTCCAGACTTTGCTGGTGTATTCCTTTTTGTTTGATGTGTAGATCCCAATTTTCGCTACTTAACTCCCGTTTCTTGGTTGCACTTAACGTGACTTTGGGGTGTCCTTGTGTGAGGTGTTGATGGATGAACAGCTGAACAGCAAATCTCTCCGCTTACAGCTGGCGGCCGTCCAAACCTCGCCACTTGGAATTTTGGGCAATGGATGGAACCGGAATTTTCTCGATTGTGCCTAGTTCATCCTAGTTCCAACTATAGTTGGTTAACATATGATAGATCTGTTAAATGTCGCACCAACCATTGGATGATCTGAAGTCATCACCGAATTTATTAGAGGTGTTTGGCCAACTGGCCTCGACCGGGTGTTTTTTTTCCCCTTTTTGTTGCATTGGTCAGCCATTGCAACGTGCGGATTGACTCGCACACGCACGTACAGCTACCACCCCATATCATGGTCGATTTTGGCCAAGGGGCTGCTCAGTAGTTGACCATTTTTCCCTTCTTCTTAGATCTGTTAACTTTAAACGATAGTATACTGCAGTATACTATAGCTGGATGGCCAAAATCGTCTATCATCATAGATGTCCTTTTCCAACGTTGTTTAACAGAGGGGCTGCCTATCAAAAGCTCGGCATCAACCTATCATGGCTTCCTTGGACACCCAGGTGCGGTTCTCCTCGAGTTCCTTGGACCCAGCGCTGTTTCAACCGGTTATATAGTCACAGTAGTTTCATGACAGCTACAAGGAGGGGGAAACAGTGATGTTACTTGAATGATAGTTGCTATAGTTGCTAGATAGTATAGTTTAATCATAATCTATGTTTTTATTTCCAAAATAATCCGGCCCAAACGTATCTGGGGTGTTGGGAGCGACCCTGTTAACGAATGGATCGAGGTGTATCCAGTGTTCAGAGAAACCAAACTGTTTTGTTTCATGGCCTATTATATTGGAACAAAGAGATATAGTGGCCAAAGATTTTTCAAAAAACTGTTGCATGTGAGAGACCTTGGATTTGGATTGGTTCAAGGGTAAATAGATGGGAACTCTTTACCGGACACTCTTTGGTTTTCCTCCCAAGAAATCACAGGGCTAGCGGCTAGCCTGTGAAGTTGCCGCTCTTAAAACCCGGAAACCAGGATGGATGTAGGAGATTTATACCTATCTGGAAACATAGAAAGGGTGTGTTTAATATTGAGGGGATGGGATTATTGAAATCTTAGTGCCAGAAACTGAGGGTAGAATATCCAGCCAAGAATTAATTTTGTGCAGTGTATCCAGCATTAGCCATAGTAAGGGTCATCAAAATCCGAACCCAAGACTGGATTTATCGAACACACAGTTTTGGCTCGCTGAACAACATTTGGTTGGTGCTGTCATGTTTTTTTTTCCATGTTACATCGCTAAACCATGGGATCGTGATCCCAATTAATGAGGACATGTTGAAACGGAGGGTTGATATAGAAATGATATGGGGGTTTCCATATATGGAGGTACCCCAAAATGGATGGTTTATAATGAAAAATCTTATTAAAATTGATGATTTAGGGGTACCCCCAATTTAGGAAACCTCCATATAGAAATGCGGTATTGATCCCAAATTAAGAAATGTGGTATTGATCCCAAATTAAGGAACGCCCTCCAAGAAGATGATCAGTTTCGCATACGCGTACTTTTTTCCCTCAAACCAATCCATTCATTTCCAACATTTGACATCTTTGGGGTCTCCAATCTCTCTCATTGTATATGACCATGACTGGAATCCGGTGGTTTTGCGATTCCGCAGTAAAATTGGGGCGCATAGCCAACCCCCAGCAGAGTACAACTCAAGACCACCCTGTGGTCGTCAAGAGCGGCTCTGGTTTCATGTGGTTCCAATGTGCGTTATTGTTTTTGATTTTTGATCATTTGCTCCGTTCATCACTAGGAAAAATGATCGTACTTAATTGCCGTTCATTACCCTATGCATGAAGCCTAAAATGCATCAACAGGATTCAAAATGTTGGTTTCGTATTGTTCAATCCCAATTTCAAAGCGCAGTATCCTCATGTTTCATGGTTATTTGCCACTTCTATATTTGGCGTGGTGTTTCTCAAAATGGGGGTCACCAAAAAAAACGATTTTAATAAGGAACTTTAAACAATGGGATGGACCCAGGTTCCAAATTGCTCACGGTTTGCCCCATCCAATACTGGTGTAGCTGTGTCTCTGAAAATGGGCTGTGCCCAATGGCAAATTCAATCGGCAAACCCAGGGACCTAGGAAGAATGGCAGAATGGAGGGACATTAATTAATTGTGTCAATGATGAATCTTAGGTGCATAAGGATGCATATGGGATGTTTATCTTAGACGGGTTGTTTGTTTAATCTTTCACAGTATGTTTCTGGAAATCATTTCAAATCCCCAAAAAGTAATAAGTACTTATTAAATATTGTTAAATCACCATTAAACACCATTAAGTCATCATTGAATCACCATGAAATCCCCATGAAATCCCATGAATTCCTTTATTTTTCAGCCCATCCTCCGGCCGGGAAAGCCAGCTGAGGCTGGTGACTTAACGCCCCGCGAGGCGGATATGATCGGATGCTGTGGCTTCCCCTACGCGCGCAAGCGGGTGCCATGGATGTACCACTGAAAAGTGGAGAGATCACCAGTTACTGTCTGGTACCCTCTGGTAAACTAACATAGCTAACTAACGGTGTGTGGGTGTGGAGTGCCGGACAACTAGACAACAAGTACCAAAAATCACACCTGGTTGGTGGTTTGGAACATGACTGGATTATGACTTCCATATATTGGGAATGTCGAATCATCCCAACTGATTTTCATATTTTTCAGAGGAGTTGAAACCACCAACCAGAGTTACTGGTATTGTAAACTAACTAAGTTTGCAAACTGGAAAATCATCCCAAAAAAGTTGGTAAATCAACGATCTACATAGCAAACTGTTGCATTGCCAGAGACTATCAGCAGTTAGTACCAGTAAACTAAGAGTTTGCTGTGGAAAATCATCCCCCAAAAATGGGTAAATCATGGTAAATCAACGAACTAAGTGGCAATTTTCAATAGCTAGATCAATTTAGATCAGGGGTAATTTATTCACTTGAAATCACCTGAATAATTAATCGAGATAGCCTCTGGTAAACTTACGGGAAACTTACTAAGACTTACTAAGTTTGCAAACTTGACAATCATCCCCCAAAAATTGGTAAAACATCGACTGAAATGGCAATTTTCAATAGCTAGATGAATTTAGATCAACGGGTAAGATCCACTTGAAAGCGCTTTTTTTATAATCCCTTCCGCCTAATACTAAACCGCACACCCCCTAAAAAAAAATCAACACCTGGAGGAGTTTTGAGTATTAGGAGGTGTTTAGTACTAGGGTGCGAAGCTTCCCGTTAACACTACGTAACTTAGAAACCTTAATCTAAAAGACTAAAAAGTTCTATTTCAAAATCAATGAAATGTCCTTTTAAAATCTAATTGAAACATCCCCAAACATTGGATTTCGATGCTTTCCCCTGATATTAAAGTAAAAACCTTAATATAATAAAGGAAATCAATCTTTAAAAAACGGTCCCTAATACAAAACACCCGGGGTTGACTAGTTTTTATTCTTAGGGGTGAAACCCTCAAATGGATTCAAATGGGACCTTCATTTTAATTTGACTTCCAAAGGGGATTATATATATATATATTTAAAAATCAGATTGGTCAGTCTGAAATTTCCCAACATTTAACTTGGACCCTAGTTTTTGATATTTGATGTACGTTGAGTAATAGGGTGAGGGGAATATATCTATCTGTGAAATCCCATAGGTGAAGTTGCCATACATTGTCCATATTGATCCATATTGTCCATTTGGCACAAAATCAATTAATGTGGGAACAACAATGCCATAAACCACCCATTTGGGAATGGTAACCATACCACCTATAAATTCATGCTGATGACTGGGGCATGGTTTATGGCATTGTTTTACCCACATAATCTATGGGATGCATGGGAGATCCGCAGTTAGATTAAGGTATAAACCACAGATCCGATTCCTCGGCACTTTTTTTGATGGTGGATTTTCCATATCGAACTGTTCGTTTTCTGGGGGGGTAAGCATCCAAAATAGGAATTTGTGCTATAGCTGCTAGTGATAGTGAAATTTAAAATATATTTAGATGATTTTAGATGGATATGATATGGGTATGTTCAAAAATGGCTGATTGCCCTCCTATTTTCCAATCCCAGCTCCACTCTTTGACCCTCCCATCCTCGTTCCATGCAAATGGTGGCCGGTTGGGTTCATCAGGGTGATAGAAATGGGGGAACCTGTCATATACCGTTTGTAGGGCTCCTGTTTTGACGAAGCCGATGTTTTGATGCTTAGATAATCTTAGATAATCATACATAATCTAGACATGTGGATGCTTAAATCTCTTTGGAGTGTGCCTTGCAAAATCCCAATTTCTGCTGGTTAACATTAACATCATCATTCAACTTCGCTTAAGAATCAGTTGATTCAGTTAGCTCCCATTTTCAGGAACAGCTAAGATATCTAAGTTCAACCATTACTGTTCCCCATGCTTGATGGTTCACATTAAATCCTTGGTTGTTTCGACCAGGTGGATATGGCTGATTCGTCACCAGAGACGCCCATGATCGACTAAAAAAAATTGGCGAGAGAGCGCCGTTTCTTTTGGGTCTTTGTGGGTTCTGGATGCAAGGTCAGAAATCCTGGAGAAAAAAAACAATCATAGGAAAATTATGATAACCAAGAAACATGGGGATTTCATGGTATAGGGCTGATTTGCTGATTCATGATAGCCAAATTGACTTACATAACTTGCTTAACGTTTGGAGGATGTAACGAAGCAATGGGTGAACTAAACACCAACGTTCACATAACTGGGGGGCCTCACCTTGTAGATTGTCCATTTGGAACGATGATAATCATGGGTTACAAGCAACTTAGAACGATGATTAGTGATGACTGTGGCAAATGGTCCGTGATGTTTGTGATGTTCTGCTGAGACATCTTCGGGGAATACATGGGAATATTAAACATGAAGAGAGTAGAATCTACAGATGCAAATCCTAGGTGTTGTGTTGAACATGAGCCCACTTGGAAGTTCAATGAACCTATGGGTTAGTGCATGAACGAGGTTTGCTGGGCCAGTTGGAACAGGTTTAGTCCAACAATGTCCTGAGTTGAGTGGCGAATGGTGGGTTGATGGATTAAGATTGGAGGGAATGATAGTATGATGTGGTATGGTTCAGAGGTATATGATAGCCAATGAAGCCAAAATTTACTTGCTTATGTTTCGGGTGGTTAATTGAGGTGATTATCAGATGCTTATAGTAACACCAAGAAGATGCAGAACATTGAAATAATATTCTGAAAATATTTGTATTTCTATGTATTTCTTTGCATTATCAATCTTTTTGGGCGGTTGATGGAAATTGGTGCTTGTTTTGTCTCTTGAGTCTTGATGTGTTAATTCAATTGTTGTGATCGTACTGTGATTGTTAGCTTGTTGGCTGGTTGGCGTAGGTTGATGGGCTTATTTGGTATGTTAACAGATGGACAGAAGAACCATTTGCAGGATGAGGTCAGCGACCTATAGCAGCGGGTTGCCTTTGAAACTGCGGCCAACTCACTTTTCAAAAACTAAACTAAACTTGTAAAGAAATTATCCCATTGTCCAGCCAGTGAAATCCCCGAGATTGGGGCCCATGCAGGGTCGGCTGGGCACCCATGAAATGTCACGACCAGTTGTCAGGACGATTTGAAAGGTCAAGTGTTGTCCTTCTCGCAGGACTCCAACGATCTCAAGGGTCAAGTCATATCCTTTTTGTCGCAGCTTCCGCCGTGGATGCCCAGTGCCTGCTGGAGGGATTCAAACATCATAAATGAAGGTTTAACTATAACAAACGATGGAGAATTAGCCATCAAACATAGAGGCAAATGAACTCGTGACGGATGGTATAGATTCCGCGCTAGCATTTTTTTGTGTGGTATTGTATCCATATAGGGTTGGCCGTGCAAATGTGGGAGGTACAAAGCTAACTTTAGCAAATATGATTCATGATGTGGGTAAGAACGAAACTTACACATGGAAGGTTCAACAAACATGGCCATAATTATCACGAGACATTGTGGGTTTCAGCAACATCGTGGGATTGAACCCAATGGGCAGAACCAGCAGAGATGCTGAGCGCTTGTAGGGCACCCCCTTTTCAGATGACGAGAAAACATCCGTGTCTATATCTGCAACATTCTGCAACCCACGTGTCTGAGAGGATGATGAATTCGTGCCTTATATTGACGACAAAGACAGACAGAGACTTCGGGTATCAAGATATCAAGAGACCCGCTTTTGAACGATGGAGATGCAGCTCAGGCTTCTTGCCCGTGGGCACATTTCATTTGTACCGTATTTATTTTACAACATGCGTTGTTGTCCATAGCCATTTGGGCTTGGCTCCTAGTCCAGCTGTGCTCCCGCCAGGTGTTTTGCCCAGAAGGTCTTTGGAGCCATCCTCCTAAAGGAGGCAAAAGGCCACGGTCATGGTTCAGTGTCCGTGGTCGCACAATGCGCGGCGGCCTGTGCAGTTTGGGCTGGTGTGCTGCACTATCGTGGCAGCAACGCCGGGGTCGGCGACATGTTTGTCGGATGCGATCCCAGCCTCATCGTCACCCGGTGTGAAATCAACAGGTGCGATGCCTACCGCGATCTGAATAATTCACTGACCCCTTCAAACCCAACATGCCACGTTTGGTACCAAAACGGGGGACATACAGTAGATCAGGAAGATGCACATGTTGCTGATTCTTTCAGTGAGATCATCATCTCCCGCCTGTGCGTGGGAACATCATGCTTGGCTTTGGCAACCCCAATGGTTGCCGATGGGATCATGTTTTACCATTTCAAAACGAGTCATTTTCCAGGGCACATCTTTAAGGATTTGACAGGAGTTCCGAAGAAAACCACTTGGACGGACACGTTGTGGTGGGCACTATCCGCACTGAGGCGAAAGCTAGTTGGATTGGTGACTTGGTACCTTTAGCGCGACTGGAGGGGTATGGCTAGCTGGGAAATCCCGAACTAGCCATGAAGGTTTACAGCTGGGAAGATCATCGAACCAATTCTGGTTGGTGGTTTGAAATATTTTGTTCCCACAATATATGGGATAATCATCCCAACTGGCTAATATTTTTCAATATGGTTAAAATTCACCAACCAGTAATTACATGGCGGCTTTTCCAGCAAGCCATGTTTGGTTGTCGGAGAGCATGCATCCTTGTTTGATGAGAGGATTGAGGACCAATCCCTTCGAAGGGGTTCAGGCACTCAGGATCACATGGTTGATGCATGTAGTTGACAACCCCAAAAGCCAAAACTTTCATGGTTCGGAAGAACGGCAATTTCCAACAAACATGTCATTTCTAAGGCACCCCCTTCAGCCCGGGCGGGCTGTAGCTATCTTAGGCTCTTTTTTTGTTATAGAAAACATTGTTTTCCAAACAGCCAAGCACTACTGCAACTATCCACCTTTTTGTTGGGTTTACCACGCATTCCTGTGGCCACCCCACTCAAAGTCAAGAATTTCAGCAGATGATCAGCAGGCCACTTCGAGTCCCTTTGCTGGTTGAGGCTAAATTGTGGCGCCATCCCAGCACTGTGGGGCCAGAAGTCCACCCTGCTCTGGCATCCAATGATTTTGGCATATTTTTACCTATGGCCCCCCTGGCCTCTGCATATTTGGCTGACACAAGATTCTCCAAAGTAGGTATGTGGCCAAAACCCTGAAGACGAAGCCCGAAAAACAAAAATCGGCTGACATCACATCATTTCCTTCCTGCGAACGATGATCCAATGATCCAAGCTATGTCTTCACATGTATTCACTGCATCTGATCCAAATGTGTTCCACATGGTACTGTACCAGCCTCTTTGATGGCCATTTTCAAACATGTTCAATCCTCCATCTGGGATCTGGGTGTATCCCCAAGGTATCCCTCACCCCCTGCATCCATGGCCGGGACCATGAAGCCGCTCGTTTCAGGTTGATTCCTACCCTCTTGGAATGTGGGTGAACGATTGGCCCGCTGGCCACGCTGTGGCTGAAATGATGGCCATCATTATTCAGGCTGGTACAAGAAAGTTGGGTGCCCACAGTGTGTTGGGATGCGACAGATTGCGACACCTCCTATGTTTGAATACTTAGCTGGTTAACAGTCAGAACTAGCTGTTTAATATCCATGGTCCATATTTGATAAATGTATATATATATAACTATTAAGAACCATCAAATGAGGAATCCTATAGGTTAATAATGGTTAATAACCATTTGTCATGGTTAAAAAGATCCATTAATCACATCAACAAGCACATAAATCACCATATTAATCTGTAGGATCCAACTTCCAGACGCCTTGACCCAGGAGGTTATGGGCTATGAGGTTGAGATGAAAGGCCCGGGGGCGGGCACCGTGAACGGCTTCTTTGCGTTGGCGGGCTGCCGGAAGCCCATGGACAGCCAGGATCCGGACTGCGATGGCGGCTCGGTGTTTTTTGGCTCGGTGACCCTGGAAATCATGGGGATTTGGCACCAATTTGACCTTGAAAAATGGTGGAAGATGTGTGAACCATGTGGGGTTTAGCTAGGTTTAGCCATTATAAACATTAAAGATGCTGGAGAAGTGGGAGATGAAGAACAATGCTGGAATGTGATGGAATGGGTAAATGTATGTAAATGTCCCATTTGGGAATGAATCTACCAGTGTTATCCCATTACATCCATGCATATATTCATTGTCCAATTTATTCATGATATTTATCTGGGGTTGGTAAACGTCCCGTTTGGGGAATGTTGAACATGACTTGAACAACATTAATTTGTTGAATAGTTTATCCCCAATAGTTGGCTGATGGTCAAATAAAACATTTACGCACGCCTTGTTTATTAATCTCTCTTTGTGTGTCTCTGCTTGCCTTAAATACAGTGACATATGCTTGCAGAATGACATGCCCACAAATCGAGTTTTTGCAGCTTGCCTAAATGTCTTAAATATTGGATGCGTTCAGTTGCGTGAATGCAGGTGACGAAGAAACATGTATTTGTTCTTACTGTTTGCTGTCGGAAAAAACGATGTTCACGGACTGATTTTGAATGGGAACCCTGCAAAATGTGTGCTGCATCTGCTTTGCCTCAAACCAATCTATGATGCTGTACAAGAGGCCACTATTTGGGCACCAAAATGATTTCGAGTCCCCCTAAGCTGGCGACCACGGTGCTCAGGTGTAACGCGTACCTTGGTCCATATGAACGTAGAGGGCTGGACAGAAGGACGCAGTGTGCGCCGACTCTGGTCCCTCTGGTGATATTGATGCAGTTGCTTGTCGGAGTTCCTAGCCACAGGAAAATTGAACATTAATCCCTTCCTCCTAATACTAAACCTCCCCCCCCCCCTAATACAAAACACGGCAGGTAGTTTTTAGTATTAGGGGGGTATTTATTATTAGGGAACCAAATCGAAGTCATGTTAATTAATTAATTAAATTTCCTTATATAACGCAATTAAAATATTGCCAAAAATGGCAGTTCGAAGCTTACCCCTAATACTAAATTAAAACCCTTAATACTAAAAACTATTTTTTCCGATCTCAAAATCAATTAAATTTCCTTATATAACGCAATTAAAATATTGCCAAAAATGGCAGTTCGAAGCTTACCCCTAATACTAAATTAAAACCCTTAATACTAAAAACTATTTTTTCCGATCTCAAAATCAATTAAATTTCCTTATATAACGCAATTAAAATATTGCCAAAAATGGCAGTTCGAAGCTTACCCCTAATACTAAATTAAAACCCTTAATACTAAAAACTATTTTTTCCGATCTCAAAATCAATTAAATTTCCTTATATAACGCAATTAAAATATTGCCAAAAATGGCAGTTCGAAGCTTACCCCTAATACTAAATTAAAACCCTTAATACTAAAAACTATTTTTTCCGATCTCAAAATCAATTAAATTTCCTTATATAACGCAATTAAAATATTGCCAAAAATGGCAGTTCGAAGCTTACCCCTAATTGCTAGAGTAGCCAGGCAGCTTGGAGTGAGGGATTGGGACTAGGCCCCCCTAATACTAAACACCCCGGGGTGAACTAGTTTTTAGTATTAGGGGGGAGAACCCACAAATGGTAGGTTGATTTTTAAATTGTTTTTTAAAGGGGATCAATTAAAAGTCAAATTGGCCAAACTGAAATTTTCGGAAATTGGAGATGGATGCCTGTTTTTAGTATTAGGGGGACGTTTAGTATTAGGAGGAAGGGATTACGAACATTCAGTGTGCAGTTTCTTTTGCCTCACATTTGGAACATTTGGATCATTTCGAACATGGAACATGAACATGTCTGGCCCCGCAGGATATACTCCAACGTGGCAAATGATCCAGGACAAGTATCCTTCCATGGCCCCCAGGAGCGATGCTTGCAGATTTCCGCTGGGAGGTGTTGCACGATTTGCACGCCACAAGGCCGTAAAGTTACCATAAGTTACCATAAGTTACTGTACCATAAGTTACCATAAGTTATCCTAGTTTTCCTATGTTTTCCTAACCTTTAGCTCCTATATGGCAATGGTTTTATCCATGGATTTATCCAAAAGCGACTTTTTGCAGATTTCCGGATGGCAGGAATCTTGGGAATGCTGGATACTTTGGGGATGCGCGAGCCCACATCTCTACTCCGGTTCAGGTCGGGCGCGCGAGCCAGATTTGGAGGGGTCTCCCATTCCATGTGCCAGATACAATGCGGACTTTTCCAAATCATACTGAATTGAATTGTTGCTGGGAAAACTTGTTTGTTTGCATTTTCACATCACTGCGAAGAGATCCACAATGAGCTAATGAGCTGAACTCGATTTCACCACATCGCAAACATTGCGTACTGTAATGGTTCGCAAGTGTTTCAATGTGAATTCGTGAGGCATCTAATCTTGGAACATGTTTTTGACGCAGATGATGTTGAAGCAAACCACTTGGTGAATAGTTGCTGAACGGGTTTTAAGACAAGATAAATTGACATGACAACTCCATGAACTTTATCTATAAATGTAAGTGACTTCGCTGGCGTTTTTTCATATGCCGGATGGCGGTGCTGGTGTTGCTGTGGTCATGATGATGAGTATCGGATGTATCGGATAACCAGCAAGGGAAAACCTCCCACTGATCATTAGCATGGCGTCAAGTAATCCCTTGGATGTGTATCCCAGTTGGTACAATATTTGCAAGCATAGGGTGTCTCACATTACAAAACAGGGCCTTATCTCATGCATGAGAGGGCTACACCTAGGCCACTACCCTTTGGTCATCTAACAGTTTGCTATTGAAAATGGGTGGCCATTTATAGTTGATTTACCCATTAAAATGGTGACCTTAACCTTCGTTTAATGTTGGTTTATCAAAGGGTAACCATCTCCAAGTCGTGGGTCTTGATGCTATGCTGAGTCTGTGATAGGAGATGGCATACAATGCTGAGGGCTTGTCTCTGGACTTCTACCGCGATGCTTGGAGCAGTATGGAGAGCGGCACCATTTGGTTACTGTATTTTGTTAAATACTGTATGCTATGAGATATGGCCCATTTATAGACTTACCTACTGAAATTCAAAAGATGGTTTCCAAAAATTGGGGTACCCCCAAATCATCCATTTTAGTAGGAGTTTCCATGAAATAAACCATCCAGCTATTGGGGTACCCCCACCTCCTTATTTTCCATAATTGTGTGTTAGTTGACTGGAGAGTATTGCCATGTTCAAACCATCTCAACCCTGAGTTGAAGACCAAAGCTCGATGCAATCTCAAGAAAACCTTTGGACCTCATTTGCTCTCACAGGCATACAGTATATACCTAGACTAATCTCCCAAGTACCTGGAGTACCTTAAAAATTGGTGTTGTACCGCATGATTTTAGTCCCTTTACCTTTTTTTTCATTTCGGCATTTGGAGGGTCAGATAAGAATTATGGGGTAAAACACCATCTTTAAGCATCACAGTGGCGGGGCAAAGGTGGCGGGGCAAAGAGGGCGCCCCACTTCTGCATACAAGATTCCTGCTTCAATCATCAAATTAAATGGGCAATTTTCATCAATTTTCCATAGCTACATATTGAATTACCAGCAAGTACTTATTCTAAATTTCATGATCAAACTGTTCAAAGGTGAAGCCTTCATGTAAGACGGCAAGAGAATGTCATTTTAAGAAATCTTAAGTAGTGGAAAACAAATTCCTCAAGAGAGGGCTGCTCTCATTCCTTTCTAGAATTGCAGCATCCTGTGTTTGTTGACAATTTATGATAGCGTAAACTTCAGCTACGAAATAGATCAAAATAGCAGATATGAGCAGTTTTTGCATTGGCACAAGCATATTCTGGATTTGACATATTATTTTTGCAGGCGTATGTCCAAATTACACCGGCAAGAGACCCCAAACAGTGTGGGGGATAGGATATCAATGTAGGAGATACAAGCAACAGTAGCTATGGAAACAGCAGATCAAGTTAGACATTTCGGTATCTGCAGCGGCAGGAACTTCTTTTGTCACAAGGAGCAGCATTTTGTCTACTAACCAGGGTTTCACTTGGGTCTCCACAAGATCTTCTTACAGGGATCGGTGCAAGATCACGCAAGGACCTCTTAGAGGATTTCACTTGGATCTTCACAGGATCTTACAAGGACCTGTCCAGGATCATTTTAAGGACTTCTTAGGGCCTTAAGAGGATTCCACCAGGATCTCCACCAGATCTTCGCACAAGGACTTGCACAAGATCATGCAAGGACCTCTGAAGAGCATTTTATCAAGAATGTTTTTTTTGCATATGTAATTTTCCAAAAAATGACGGGAAAACCGGGCACTCAACAAACGCCAATGCCAAGATTGCACCCCTCAACGGGTTTAAGGTGCAAAATGATGCAGAGGCTTTGGCCAGGACTTATCGAATTGTGTTTGAAAAGGAAACCAAGCACACAAAAAACAACAAATTCCATACCCGAAGGGAATTCAGGAGACTTGGGTCTGGACATCTTCGGGGGAAGTCTTCTGGCTTATGCATCATGGCTGCATCCTGCTTTAACTGCTCCAATATTTGCGTAGGATTCATCGACAAGCACACGCTGGGTGTCTCTTTCTGGACACGACCAGTTTGGCCCACGTCATGAGTTGAAAACAAAGGTGCCACAACTTTTGCCGGTTCGTGCAGTGATTGCCCGTACCAGGTACAATCCAGATAAGTTCAAAATGTTCTTTATTCTTATACCAATCCTACTTGATAACAGTTGGCCCCGGTAGCGAGTCGCCACGGGCAGGTCACAACCACATACATCGGGTGTTACAGTATATTATACCACAGCCGTGTTTGCATACGGTGTGTTCATATGATGTGCATGCCTACAAGCAAACATATATGATTATGGACTTGAAATGTACACCTTAGCTGCCCCACTTCAGCATCCATGCCATGTCGCGAACGACCGCTGCCTACAAGGCTCGCGTTGATATCCCATTTGCCTAACAGGCCGGCTTTACGCCCGTGAATTCACGCCATGCGACGACAGACTGAGCATGCCAGCTCGGTGGCAAAAAGGGGCCGACTTGCAGACCAGCAGTTCCACATGAAGGCTCCTGGGAAAGGGTTCCAGCTACCCAAGTATTTCTATTTGGTAGCGGAGCCACGGTTGCTCCTGCTGCTGTTAGTCCTGGCATCCTTGTTGGCGACGCTTCTGGTTTTTGATCTTCAGCCTCAGATGACCTTTACCATGTTCAGTGCAATTCTGGCTAAGTGAACAACTGTGAGTGCAAGTGCAGTTGATGTGGACGGTGCTTCAACAACGGAGAGCGGCGCAGCCCTCCAATCTTCAACTGATGAGCCATCAAAGATGCTTGATATGTATGTGACAGCAGCTCCAACAGGTGTTCAGTTCGATGCTGATTCCAAACGACTGACAACTTCGATTAGAGCGATTCTGGCAACCTCGACAACAACAGCAGTTGATGAACCGCGTATGGTTGCAGTTTTGCAAAGAGCTTTGACGAAGTCCTGCATGCGTGCGGAGGATGCCATACAGCGTTTGGAACAGTTACAAGCCTCGATGCAGGGAAATTTGGGACCTACAGAACTGGTGCACCACCTCCGGAAGGTGGGAATCTTGGAGAACGATGACGACCTTGACGAGACCAGCTTCTTGGAACAAGGTTCTTCAGATGAAGTCTTCAAGCCCAATGCGACGCCTCTGCAGCATGATCGATGGTGGTTTGAGTCTGATATGGATGAACAGTACAACTTTTCTGTTTCCGGTCGGACGAACATCATAACAAATTCTGCTGTATTGCAATCAGTGCATGTGAATCTTACCGAACAACAGAATCATGCCGATGTTGGACAATTGGCTTCAATGCTGGTGCATGGCAGGCGACCGGCAGGTGAACTGAAGTCAATGTCATGGGTGAAGCGCCACAGACTTCACCTTGTGATGGTTCTCATCGGAACAACTGTGATCATATCAGCCATTTCTGCAATGAATCCTGGACAAAGGTTCAATCAAGGTGGTCGTGCTGGCTACACTGCAGACGTTGGAGCGGCCACACTCAAAACACCTCCAGCGTGGTCGCTGGAAGGGTCTGGATCCTACTCCTTGCGGTCCTGGCTTTCGGACGTGGTTCTATGGGCAGGAGCCACAGATCTTGAGCCGGAAAGGCAGGGACCAGCTGTTGCTTTGGTTGTGACTGGAGCAGCTAGGGATCTGGTTAGAGAGCTTCAACCACAGGAGCTACGTGATGGGATTTGGGAACAAGGCACTCACATCCCAGGTCTCATGCTTCTTTGCAGGACGTTGGCACGACATTATGCACCTCATGAAACTGAAGTTCAAACAAGAGCCATGGCTGAGATGATGGGATTTGCCAGACTCCCCAACGAATCCATTGATGGTAGCCTTTCAATGACAGAACAGCAGTTCAACCAGCTTCTTGATCGATTGCGACGAGTGGGTCACATGGCTAAAGGACAATATCAGCCGCCGCATCGACAAGGGGCCACTGGTGATGTTGGTTCATATCACTATACTTCCCAACCTTTGATCAGCCGCATCCGATTCCTGGAACGGGTTTTGGACCTGACTATGAAGCCTACTACAGAGGTCCAGCTGTTTGGGGTTCAGACAATGAAGCAGCCGCAGCATTTCAGAACCCAGTCACTCCAGACATGCCAATGCCAAGTGAGATGAATCAATCCAGTTTTGCAGCAGTTCCCATAGCCGCTGGTGAAGAGCAATGTCCAAGATGCGGAATGTACTACATGGATGATGAGTTTTCCTCATGCACTGACACCGACAATGGTGAAACCGACAATGAAGCCAGCATGTTGTATGGTAATCTCAGTGAAAATGATGCGAAATTGGGGAATGAACTGTACTGTATGAGGCATACATGGTTGCAAAGAGAAGATGGCGTAGGTTCTCCAACAAGCCTCCAAGAAGATACCGTAGGAACCACTTTAATAAGTTTCGCCATCAGTCCAATGTCCAAAAGTTCAAAAGGTTTGGCAGCAGCTACGCCGCATTCCTTCCTCCAAATGCTTTCGCAGCTCACAGGGGACCAGGGGGTAAATCAGGTGGTAAGGATAAGGGAAAACGATCCAATCCAAGGGGTCGAGATGGTCAGCCGTTGAAATGTTTCAAGTGTGGTTCAACTGAACACCTTGCCCGACACTGTACAAAGCCTGATGCATCCGCCAACATGAGCATGCTGGTCGCCCCGACCAATCCAGTTGGTTTGCAGTTTTTCACCAAGGGTTTTGCATCCGAGCATCCGTCCGAGGTAGGGTTAGGTTCTTCTGCTTCCAGTGTTGCATCATTTCCAAGCGAAGCTGGAAGGATGATCTTGAGTCACTCCGAAGTTTTTTCTGTAGTGAACAAGGGAAAGGTTGAATCTGTAGGTGACTCCGATGATGCCGATCGTTTTGCAGAGAACGTGCCACGTTTTCCTCCTCCGACTGAAGTTGCTCCAACAGCCGAAGAACTGCAGTTGCAATCAAATGCTTTGCCACAGGGTTCGAAATGGATGTCTTTCACCACTGGTAGTTTGAACAGCATTTCAAGTGTTGTTGCGGCCACACAGGATGATCAGACTGAACGACAGGTTTGTAATCTCTTGGAAGCTCCAGTACAAAGGCGATCAAAGATCAGCCAACACAAAATGATCAACTTTCCAAGTCTCCTCGCCGAAAGAAGCAGCAGATGTCAGAACAGCATAGGGAAGTTCGTGCAGCCACAACTTTGCAGTTGTCGCAGTTGTTGAACAACATGTCCAACTCAGGTGCAACAGCTTCTGATGCTGATTCAGCTTCTTCCTTACCATGGTGGGAGACAGCAGACCGTGATGAAGGTCGTGATGGGGCTCCTTCCTATCACACTATGCGCACAAGAACTTCTGATGGACGCATAGGTTTGCTTGTTGATCCTGGAGCCCATGATAATTTAGGTGGTGAAAACACCTTGCGGAACTTGGAGTTGCAACTTGGGGTGCGTGGAAGAACACGTGAGCTCAGTGCTCCTTTGCATGTTTCAGGTGTAGGACGTTTGGCCCAAACTGCTGAGACCGCCGTCACAGTTGACTTTGACTTGCCGATGCCTGCACTTGGGATTGAGCAAGGAACGAGCAGTTCCTTCACAACTCCAATTTTGCCTGGAAGTGATTTGCCGTTGCTCCTTGGTTTGAAATCACTGCAGTCCAAACGAGCCATTTTGGACACACATGGCCGCCTCTTGATTTTGCCTGGTGCTGGTGGAATTGAGTTTCGTGTGTCTCCTGGTTCAATGGTTCTTCAGTTGGAACAAAGCAACAGTGGACATTTGATCTTGCCTATGAGGCCACCTTCAAACCCGATAGATCCTAGAACTGTTCGGGGTGATCGTGAAAGATTGAATGAAAGGCGTTTGAATTTCAACGTCCAATGCAGGGAGACCAGAACTCCTTCGCCTGTAAGAACACCTGTGCATGAAACTGACTATCGTCAAAGGCTGATTGAACGTGAAGATCACCGAGGTCAGACATGGGTGATTGGACGTGCTGTTGACGCCGTTGTTCCAAGTGCGCCAAGGACACTTGCACCTCCAAGCCTGGGAACAACCACCAGTGTCAGACCAGCTCCAATTGAACCAGCTGGTACATCAAGTGCTGCAAGATCTGAAGGTGCGACCAGTGCACCAAGCAATAGTGAACCGAGAAATGTCTCAAGAACACCAAGAGCCCGCGAGTCCAATGGTGGACCGCCTGATGCCGCAGGTCCTGAAGCCTGACCACATGCCGCCAAAGCTGTAGGAATTCATGTTGCTCACACCAAAACCTCTAAAACCAAAATAAGTAGTAGTGAGCTTGCAGAGACTGTGCATGTTGAAGGTAATGCGCTTGATGTGAAGCCAGTTGGTGTACAACACTTGGTTGAATGTGGTGCATGGATCGTTTCAGACCAGTCGGGCCTTAGACAACGACTGCTGCAGCTGAATGGTTTTGGACCAGTGTTTGCCATTTTTAATGACTTGCACTCCAAAGGCAAGTTTGACCAGTTGGCCAACCAGCTTGCAGCCTCAAAACCAAAATTGCTTTGGGTTCGATTGGCAGGACCAGCCTGTGGTTCTGGAAACCGACGTGATGACCGCAGGGCTTCTTTCTTAGTTCGCCTAGTATTGCAGCAAGTTTCACATGGTAGACTTGCAGTCTTGGAAGGTAATGTGCGCTCAGAAGGTTGGAACTTGAGACCAGTCCAAGAACTAGCACAGCTAAACTTGCGGGAATCATTGCATGTGTGGTGTAGGTATCCAACTATAGATGATGATGCTTGCAGCGCAGTCACCAGAATTTGGTCGAATGCAGAGTTGGCATCTTGTGCCGAATGCCATTGCAGGACTGACAAAAGACATTTCACCGCCAAGCAGTTTCATGTTGCACAACAACAAGCCATCGAATCACTCATGCTGTCCGATGTGATTCGTCAGTTAGCTCAGGTAGTGTCCGACGCCCGTGACGAACAACCTGAGTTGAAATCAACTCTTTCTTCAAGTGCCGATGCAGTTCGCATCAATGCACTCTTAAGTGAGCCAGATCAACCCAATTCCAACAGTGCTATCCATAAAAGAAATTCTTCTTCTTCTTCTAAGACCAATCGACCAACTACCTCTTCTAGAGCTATAACATCAAATGCCTTATCTAGTGCCAACACTTCAAAGACCATATCAAATGCGACTTCTTCAGATGAATAATTATATCTACTACTTCTCAAACCTTATCTACAGCGATTCGCAAAGTCTCTTTTGATCCATCAATTGCCTATAGTCCTCCTCCAATAATTCCTAATAGGGTAACCCTAATTCTTGCCACAGCCAATGCATCCGAAAGCAGCCGTGCATCCGAGCAGCCGCCGATGCAGCACGCCTTTCCAACTGAGTCTGCCAACCGGCAGAAAGAACGTAAGAAAGCAGGGCTTGAACCTAAGAAAAGAAAGCAGATCGTAGAACAACACCAAGATGATGTCGGTGAAGAGCTCAGTAGCATTTAGTTCATGATGCAGAAGTTTCTCATTTTCTTGAAGAAGCTCAACATAACAATAACTTGTCCGACTGAGCACATGGTGTTTTCTCCTTTGCTTTTGGAATGGCCAACAGTTCCAATGCCAGTTCGTGCAGCCTTGCCGATAATTTTGATGCCTTGTGTGAACATGCCGAAGTTTTCCTTGGCCAATGCGGCCGACACATACATGTTTGCGAGATGTTTGGTGGTAAAGGTACCACATCCACCTTGTGCACTCACCTCTTCGGTTTGACAAGTGGAAAGAACTTTGAGATTAAATGTGGTGTTGACCTAAACACTCCTGAAGGTGAACGTCAACTGTTTTTTTAATCTCAATAAGTTTAATCCGGATGTTGTTGTAATGGCACCTCCATGCAAGGGTTTTGGTCCTTGGGTGCACCTCAACATGTTAATAAATCCACTTGCAGTTCGACAAGCTCGTGCCGATGGTGTGCCGCTAGCTAAGCTGTGTGCACGCGTTGCTGAACACCGCCTCTCCAGGGGTAAGCATTTCATACTTGAACAGCCAAGAACCAGTTTAGTGTTTCAAATGAAGGAATGGTTAGCCCTTGAACATGTTTTGTACACCGCCCACTGTGATCAATGCCGCTTTGGTTTAAGAGATGCCGCTGGTGTGCCATTGAAGAAACCAACACGTTTTGTTGCCACAGATCCCATGTTGATCGCTCATGTTGCCAACAAGTTTTGTCATGAAAACCATGATCATGGCAAAGTAACTTCAAGTGCCGAAAATTGGCCAATGCAGTTGTGCAAGAAGCTTGCGCTTGGAATTGCCGACTTGTTATGCGGTAACCTTTATAATGTTTCTTTGGTATACTTCCCAACCTTTTCATGCCCAGGTTGCCGAGGACACCAACGAAAAGATGAGGCTCGCCACACTCGAACAGGTGACTGTAAATATCCAAATGCTGAGTCATCTGACTGGCAGTGCCCTGGTTGTAAGAGCAATGCACATCGCTCTTCCAACACTCATACTCTAGGACCTGACTGCCGTTGGGCCATTTCCTCAACAAGAGATGCAGGTGGTGGGAGAGCTCGCAGGGGTCATCATCCCAGAGACCCTGCTGTTGCTGCATCTAGAGATCCAACTGCTAGCTTGCGATTGCCCGCTGAAGCTGATGTGCCAGTTGCTGGCGAAGCAGTTGAGCCTGGACGCTTGAGTCCAGAAGAAGCAGCTCGCCGACGAGCCTTAAAACGTTCCTCAGAAGTTCAGGTAGGATCTGACCCAGATTTAATTGATGCAGCCGGTGCCTCCGGTTCTAGTGCAGCCAGATCTTTAGCCATAGCGAATGAACCTGCCGATGCTCCAGCAGCCGATGGTGGTTTAGCTGCTCCCAACGCAGCAGATGCCGAAGCCATCATTCCAGTAGCAGATCAGCCAACTTGGCGTCGCTTTGACCTACGGACCTCACTTCAGTTGTTGAGGTCAGTAGGACTTGGTGTTGTCAGAAGATGCTTGCGTAGCATATAAGATGGTATCATGCACCTTCTAAAAGAATGACCATTCTTTTGACAGCCGCCGGTGTGCCAACTGATGTGTTGTCTCAAATACCAGATGTTGTTGCAACTTGTGATGTTTGCCGAGCATGGCAAAGACCTGGAAACCGTTCCGTGGTTTCAACGAAGTTGCCTGAGCGATTTAACCTGCAAGTTGAGCTTGACTTGCTGTTTGTTGGTACCCATGTGATCCTTCATATGATTGATAGATGTATAAGATGGTCCGTTGGAATTGAAATCCCCGACAGAACGACCGATTCAATCTTGAATGGGATCCGTGATGGTTGGATCAACAATTTGGAGCACCTTCCGAAATGATCTCCGACCAAGAAGGAGGTTTGAATGAACATGCTGCCGCAGTTCTTGAACAGTTCCAAATAAAACTTCACTTGAAAGCGAAGGGTCAGCATGCAGCCATGATAGAACGCCACAATGAGCTCTTGAGAAGACAGATTCATTTAACTGACCAGCAGGCAACCAATGATGGCCTGCGTGTTTCTTTCACTCAGATTCTCAATGAAGCCTTGTTTGCCAAGAATGTTTTGCTGCAGTACGGAGGGTTTTCTCCGTATGAAGCCCTGTATGGGCGCACTCCTCCTTTGCTTGATGTCATGTCCATAGAAGATGATCGCGAGACTGAAAACCCTGCAAAGTTGCGTAACCTTGCTGTGCAGTCCATGTTGCAAGCCGCAGCCGAAGACCGCATTCGCCGTGCCAATGCCACAAAGTCTAGGCCTGCAGGTGAACTTAAGGGTTTAAGCCTTGGTGACTTGGTCGATATATGGCGACCAACCTTGACCAAGGATGTGCCGCGCTGGAATGGCCCAGCGACTGTAGTAGATCTCACAGCGATTCCTGACGGAATCATCGGAGTGAGATGGCAGGGTAGAAACTTGCAGATTCGTGTTCAAGTCTGCAGTAGAGCCCTGGCGTTTATGTTTGCGCCTATCTTCTTTGGAGGTGAAAGTTCACCAATTGAAGTGCTTAGAATGGCAGCCGAAACTTTCCAAGGATGTATGCGTGTTGGATGGTTCCGAAAACAAGACCAATGGATTGCTTGTGAAGGCAACAAGGAATTTTCCGATGCACTTGTTGCTGGGTTGCATGTAGCAGCCGTGAAATTGCAACTTCTAAGAACCTTCAGCTTCCGTTTTGGCCATGGGGTCCGCACCATTTCAGGACTGTTTTGCGATGAGTGTCTCTTGTGCTGGTGGGAGCCAGGTAACTTCCACAACTGGTATCATGCTTTTGCTGATGGCAGCAAGGCCATAAACTTGTCAACCTTGGGACACAGCGAAAACATTGCCTTTGTTCAGTTCCTCATGGAAGACGGTGTTGCGATTTCTCACTTGCGGAAGTTGAACGCAGAAGTCTCTAACATCGGCGGAGTGCATGAACTTCGAATGCCTTTGACTAGAAAAAATCCTTTGGAAGTAACCTCAGAAAATAGAAAAACCCGAAGTAGTAAAACCAAAAGCATAACCGATGACCCTGATAGACCTGCAATCCCTGATCCAACTAATCAGCCTTCCAAGTCTCCTGAAGTTTATGAACTTTCCCCTGATCACTCAGGTGCCGAAGATGTTGACTTGGATGTACTTCCGGACGAAGGTCAGCCGACTGAGTCCGAAGAAGTTGTTGGATGGGTGTGCTCAGCCGAGCCACCAATGCAGCCTTGCCTGTTTCAAGCCGAAGCCATTGTGTTTTGTTGTGATAGATGATGATGAACCAGCCGAACTTAGCTTTGAAAATAAGATGTTCCCTTATTTAGTCCATCCCCAAGTTAGTTAAACTTGCTTAAACTTGATGATGCTTGCGAGATGGTGTTTAACTATCACAGCCATGCCAATGATGTTGAAACTAACGGTCCAGTCATCAAAAGATCCATGAATGTGTTGACTCGTGAAGAAGCTTTGCAGAATGCTGATGCTTGCAAAGCCGCCATGATCAAAGAGCTCAACAGGTGGATCAAGCACGGTGCGTGGAAAAGGATGCCTCTGTCCGAGAGCCGCAATCTTCTTAAGTCCAAGTGGGTACTCAAATGGAAGATGATTGGTGGTTCCAAAGATGTGAAGGGTCGTCTTGTGGCCCAAGGTTTCCAAGACCGTCAATCCATAAGTACTTTTGCAGGTACCACTTCGAGATGGGGACAGAGAATCATCATTGCACTTGCTACCCAGTTTGGATGGCCGTTGTACAGTGCCGACATTTCCGAAGCATTCTTGCGTGGTATAACCTTAGGAGTTGTCCAAGGAAGATTCCGCTCAACCCTTAAGAGTTGTTGAAATAGCCCTTCCAACGGGCACTGAAGAACTTCTTCAATCATTCCCAGGGTATGAAAGCTACAACTCTGGAACTGAATGTCTTTCTTTGTTGAAGCCTGGATTTGGATTGAAGGATGCTCCACGCCTGTGGAATGCCGCACTGCAGCGTGTGCTGAGAAAATGTGGTTTGTGCGCGGTCCAAACCGACCGACAGTTGTTTGTAAAGCATAAGAATGGTAAGCTGATTCTAGCCCTCTCAGTCCATGTGGACGATATCAAGATGACAGGCCTTGATGATGAAACAAAATCTGTGCTCAAAACGCTTTCTGAACACTTTGATGAGTTGATGTTAGAGTGTGACAACTTTGAGCATTTAGGCCTTAAACATGTCCTTGAGTCAGATGGCTCTAGAAGTATCAGCCAAGAGCACTATGTGAAAGAGCTGCGCTTCATTTCCGAAGCTGAATGCCGAAATGATGTCGAAGTGTCTCCAACTGTCCGTTCCCAGTTCATGAGTTTGCTTGGAGGCATAGCATGGACGGTCCAAACACGTCCTGACATTGCAGTTTTCACATCCGCTCTCCAGAGGAAACTGCAAGCAAGGATGTTGTTCATCTTAATAGGGTTTTAGCTTACCTCAAGCGAAAGCCTCTGAAAATGACTTATAAGAAGGTAGAACATCCATGGAAGTTGTATGTCATCTCCGACTCCAGTTTCAAAGGAGAAGACCTCTTGCCATGAAAAGTGGAATAATAGCATTAGGTGATAGGTATGGTCCTAAGCTTGGTGATAACAGTCTTCAAATCATAGAGTTTGTGTCCAAGAAACAGAACCGTGTTTGCCGAAGCACTTTCACAGCCGAACTCTATGCTGCTTTGGATGTTGTCTCGCTTACTAGTGTCATCAACTTGGCACTGACCGAAGTCCTGACTGGTTGCCAAAGTGCCAGTCGAATGGCAGAGATCCAAGAGACCGGATCAAATGCCCTTGAAGCTGACTTGTTTCTTGATGCTAGGTCTGTGTTTGACAGTATCTCAGCCGCAGATACCAAGAGTACCGCAGATCGCCTCATGCATATCCACGCCTTGAAGTTGAAAGAAATTCTTGCTATGAGGATAGCTAACCGAATGATATGGGTTGACACCAGAGATATGTTGTGCGATGCCTTGAATGAGGGCAATGTTTCCAGAGATGCAATACGCATTGCCTGTGCAACTGGTGTATGGAGGATCACCAATGCCTTCAAGCATGTCGAAGCAAGGACCAAGTCTGAGACTTGATATGTTGCCGATGTGTTTGCTTGAAATCTCCGACGCCCAAAGGAGATCCTAGTGACGAAACATCCTGAGTTGAAATGTACACCTTAGCTGCCCCACTTCAGCATCCATGCCATGTCGCGAACGACCGCTGCCTACAAGGCTCGAGTTGATATCCCATTGGCCTAACAGGCCGGCTTTACGCCCGTGAATTCACGCCATGCGACGACAGACTGAGCATGCCAGCTCGGTGGCAAAAAGGGGCCGACTTGCAGACCAGCAGTTCCACATGAAGGCTCCTGGGAAAGGGTTCCAGCTACCCAAGTATTTCTACTTATTCTTCTTTTTATGCCCCGTACTCTCATATTTTCATGCCAGGGTATCTATTTTGTACTACTGAGCTGAGGAACTCAATGCATCATGGAATGATGTGAAGAGATACTTTGCCGATTTGGATTCAGCTGCTTGTCAACCGCCAAAAAACATGATGATGATGATGATGATGGTGATGATGATGATGGTGATGGTGATGGTGATGGTGGTGGTGGCGATGATGATGATATTTCACGGAACTTAGCCATACTTAGCCTATGGCCTGCTTCCAACTAAAACAGACACATCATTTGTCCGCGACCGGCATGGTAAGAGCGCTTGAGGTTGACAAGTCAAGGCTGCGTTTTTGCAACGGTACCCTTCTGATGGATCCTGTGGAGATGGGTATCTACGCTGAGATGACTGGAGATTTGGATGGAGTCGTCTTTGAAGGACCTTGGTTTGTCGGTGAATGTCGGCTGAGTGTTACATCATGGACCATGCATATCCATATGCCATGCATCAAAATGGCAACTGCTATGGACCATGTGTGCAGTTGATCAATGCGGGTACTAATACCATTTATTAGAATTGTGGAATTACGCTGTAATCCCCCTAACATTGAAGAAACATAGTGAAACCCGTCGAATAACGTTAGTTCATTGTTGGATCTATTCATTTTGGAAGTACTGTATGGTACTGTATAGGTTCATCTAGGGGGCAAAGATGATCACTTTTTAGAGTAACCCCCTCATTCCATCAGTATCCCCCTCCGTACCTTCAATCTGCTGTCATCCTGTGGGCATGGCTCAGCATGGTGCAAGGCGCAGGAGGAAGTGTGGTGGCAAAATGTTGGCAGAACCACTTCTGGTATGCTCCGGCTTGCCGCCAGAGCCCGTCCCGTTCCTGGGCCCAGAAGCGCGTGTGAAGCGCGTGTGAAGCGAACTGAGAAGATAAACCATATCATATTTTAGAAAATTATGTAATGACAATTATATTAACATATTGGGTGATTCTATGTGATATTGTGATATCCTTCGCTGTAGGCTGCTCGTGGCCCAGGCTGCTGGCCTTTTATCACTGGAGGTTCAGGGTGGCAAGTGGGTGATTTTATGCAGAAGGCGAGGCGGCACTGGGCATGGCAATCCAACATGGCAATGGATTTCCCAGCCCGCCATGTTTGTTGCCGAAGGACTTAACAGTTAGTCCTTTAAAACCACCGTGGCAGCATTTTGCTATTACCCACTGGTAATTTAGCATAGCTATTGAAAATGACCATTTATAGTGGGTTTACCCATTGAAAATGGTGATTTTCCATAGTTACATAGTTATCTTAATTTACCGGAGGGTACCCACTTAGTATCTGGGATGCACATCCAAGTAGCCGGTATCGGTAACGTCAGGTAGCGATTCAGCTAGTGAAGTGGCATACTTGCCATTATTCTGCTTGGTCCGTACGTTTAACCAGGGGGCAAGGGTAATTCCTCAGCATATTTTGGACAAAGTCTCCACCAGCTGGCACGCTCTTTTGCATTGTTTGAAGAGGCAACCGCCTTCAACTTTGCTGCAGCGGTGACAGTTGCCAAGAATTGGGACAACTATGTATCACTACCAACTGACCACGCTAGCATTTTCTATTGGTGGGTCCCCGACACAACCTTCCTAAGGAGCGACCTAAAACTGACTGCTCCAACGTCGCAAAAAATGTGAAAAATGACATGTATATAGTAAAACATACATATATATATACATATTATAGTTATTTATAGTTATATACATATATAGCAAATATCATCAATGTTTATCTTGTTCTTGTCTGGTCCCGTCATCAAACATTTTAGCTGGCTATGTTGCTTTGTTTTGGGGCTCCATTTGAAACCATGCAGTAAGATGTCCAACTTGCTGACGTCAAACAGTGCAACGCCAGGCTTGAAGATGTGCTAGAACATTTTATCCATTCTTTGGAAAAATTTTGGAAAATAATTTGGTACTTTTTGACTGATCACTGCAAAATTGTCTTCCAGACAACCAGCATGTGACATCAGAGCTTGATGCGATGTCGCCCTGCAAGGATGAAACCACAAGCGGTGACGTTTCCAGCTTACGACCGCATTGCTTGGGAACGTGGGGACAAGAAGACGGGTTCCAAGCAAATGTCCATCGACATTCATGTCAGCCAGGAGACTTTGCAGCTGAAATGATTTGAAATCCGTGGAACATTGTGACTGCTGGTTGGAGCATCATGTTGGGTTGACGGGGGGGGTTAGCCCGAGTTCAGCTGTGTTGAAATCTGGCAAAGTATTCTCCACTTCATCATGCTTCATGTTCTCAGATCGTACATGTTAGAAAACTGCGTTTTCGCCTAGGCGGCGTATCCTTTTTTGTGGCATCAATTCATTTGCCTTCTTGTTCATTACGAAATATGATTTCCTTTGTTCATAGACACGTGTATGAACTTTTCGATCATTTTTTTGAAAATCTGCATGGATTTTTGAACCCTTACAGTGGATCGTCGCGTTTTTTCGTCTTGAATTTCGCTCCTTTTATCACACTCATGTCTAAAGTGTGTGGTATTTTTCTCAAATCTTTTCCATGTGTCATCTGTCTAACCAGGAACACTCATGTCTAAAGTGCGTACCATCAACAACGTGAGCAAGTCACATGGAACGTTAACATTCCCCCCCACCCCACCCCAACCCCTGCGTGGCGTAGCATCAACAACGTGAGCAAGTCACATGGAACGTTAACATCCCACCCCCACCCCAACCCCTGCGTGGCGTAGCATGAATCAACAACGAGTGCAAGTCACATGGAACGTTAACATCCCCTCCCACCCCAACCCCTGCGTGGCGTAGCATCAACAACGAGAGCAAGTCACGTGGAACGTTAACATCCCCCCCTCCCCACCCCAACCCCTGCGTGGCGTAGCATCAACAACGTGAGCAAGTCACATGGAACGTTAACATCCCCCCCCCACCCCACCCCCTGCGTGGCGTAGCATCAACAACGTGAGCAAGTCACATGGAACGCTAACTTCCCCCCCCACCCCAACCCCTGCGTGGCGTAGCATCAACAGCGTGAGCAAGTCACATGGAACGTTAACATCCCGCCCCCCACCCCAACCCGCCAGCCCCCAACAGTCATCTGGCCTCTCTCATCCTGACGGGGAGGATAGCCCAGCGCAGCAAGGTCAGGAATTTCTGGGCTAACCTTCCCCGTCTACCCATCATGTTGCATATTGACACCCCACATATATATATATATATACACTTATTTTTAAAAATGTATTTCCTATTTTGCGCCACATCTATCGGATTATATTAAATTAGGTCACCCTCTGGTACTCAAACGCGGTGCTCGTACTGTAATGGAATTAATTAATATGACACATAGTAATCCTCTATTTTCAGATGATTTTTCCGTGAGAAACCACATATATATATATATGTATGTATGTATGTAATATATATATAAATAAAATATATCAATAAACAAAATAAGATGGATTCTTGCATATTTTTGCCATGATGATTAGCAGAGACCATATCCTGAGAGGATTTGGCCGCACTGGCTCCAAGTGTCCAACAACTCCTGGCAGCTTCCAGCTTGACCATCAAGGAGGGTGGAGGGAGCGGGCAGGCAGTTCGGAGCTACAGTTGTATTATGTTGTATCCATATGGAGGTTTCCTGAAATAGAGGTACCCCCAAATCTGTGAGAAATCCAGCTTCAGTCATGTCAAGTTCCCCTCAGCAATCCAACATGTCATCCGTGCCATACATGTCAGCATTCATCCAACCCTGCCAGGTTCATCACATGTCATAGCACAGACATCCCTGCTTTCTGCCGCAGGAATTCCTTTGGCCATTCAGGCACTGAAAGCCCACGTTGGCCTTAGAAGGCCATTACCGACTTCGTTGCTGCCATAGGTGGAAAACAATCTTTGCCGTTCGCTGCTGGGCTTGGGAAACCGAGAAGTGTAACAAGTTTGACTAGCAGTGCCACGAGCTACCTCACATTTGTAGCAGAGCCGGGCGATCTTGCTCGGCCGACTCAGTCTGCTGACTGTGTCTGCTTCCTGCTGCGGTCCTTCCTGATTGCTGCAGAGCTCTTTGGCAACCTGCTTTGGTCTTTGCTACAACCGTTCTATCTCATTGTGGTGATCTCGGACAAGGGTGGCTGCTGTGCGCCCTGGCTTCATCGCGTCCGAGCTCTACGTCCTTGTGGTGATCTACGTGTGGGAGTTGCACCGGTCTTGAGCAGGCCATGGGCACTCTCTCCTGCACCGGTCCTGAGCAGGCCGTGTGCGGGTGCTCCTCATAGCGCCGGTCCCGTGCAGGCCATGCGCTCTTCTACATCATTGAGGTGAGACGTTCATCCTTCAGTATGTCGCTGAGCCGAGACATTCAGGATGTGGCCATGTGCAACAGAGAGCTGAGCTTGTGGCATGATTATGCCAGGCATGTGCGACTGCAATGGGAGAGCACGCCCAACACAAAAGGCGACTACTTGGACCCGAACTGGCATCCAAGTTGACTGCCAAAGCTTGGAGCGTTACTCCTGACCTGGACCACCCCAAGCTGAGCAAGAAGAACGGATGCAAGTACTTGCTGAAGTTTCTTCAAGAACGACTTCGCAGGGCAGCAGTACCTGATGCTGAAGCACGTCTTGAAGACTTGCTCATAAGACTTCGAATGACTTCGACGTCCAGCAGGATGTCAATGAGTCAATGGGCAAATGAGGTGATGGAAGCCCACAGAAAGGTTCAACGAGCTATGATCAGAGCTCGACAGATCCAACGTTCAAAGGAGAAGACAGAAGGTAAGAATGAGCCTGAACCCCAGCGTGAACCTTCCTCTATGCCTACATCACCGAAGAGCCCTTCATGGACTTCACCGCTGAGCCCTACACGATCCTCCAGACCGAGCCCTATGCGCACTACTGCTGGCTATGGAACCGATCCCATCGCTGGCATCCAAGAATCTGGTGACGAGAGCGGAGACTTTGCTGCAGTTCCCCAACAAGAACTTGAAGCTGATGGAGACGGAGAAGAATGGTGGTCTGCTGAAGACTGGCGACGTTGAAGAAGGAGCAGAAGAAATGGTGGGAAGATCATGAGTCTTTCAGCGGTGAGGACTTGCCTTCGGATGAGCTGCAAGCTGAGGAGATGCAAGTCTTACCGGACGAAATCTTGGGTTGGTTGCTCTTGCGACGAGCCATGGGAACTCCTTGAGATTCTCTGACCTGGAGATCGCTCTTCGTGACCAAGAAGAAGAGTTTCTGGCCGCCGATCATGGACGAGGAGGACATCCCGCGAAGAAGAGATCCTTTTGGATTGTAGAAGAAGGAAATTGGCGAATGGTCGTCACCAACATGGACGAGCTGGAGGAGAACACTGAGATCCATTGGGTTGGCAACCAATTGCCGACAGATGTCAGTATGATCCGGGGCCTAACTACAACTCTGCCGAGACCTGTGAGGATGACGACATCTACTGGACTTGGGAGGCAGATGGCTGGCATGGCTATGTGCCAGACGGATGTGGCTCCTGGAGGGAAACTGATGGCTTTGGTGCCTTTTGGACTTGTGAGGACCCATTAGCCGACCTGACTCCTGAGGAGACCATGCAAGGAATTGGATGAAGCATACATGGCCTATATGAGAACAAGGCTCGAACCTTCTTGCAAAGCCGGCAGCTGCAACATGCCAAAGGCACCAGCCGTGGATTCTTCCCTCTCTCAATCATCAAGGAGGGTGGCCAGGGCATCTTCAAGCTCTAAGCCGCTGTTTGCTGCTCAGGGCATGGATGGCTCTACAACGACTACCAGCTGAGGATGCGACATCTGTGGAGATAAAGGTCATGGATTCCGTCAGTGCTCAAAGAGATCCTCTACTACAGGAGGCAAGAAAGGTGCCTACTGGGTGGAGTCATTGACAACATCTTCACTGGCTTTTGTTGGAATGGTGAACGTCGTGCAGGACACCGTCCGCGACACAGCTGGCTATGGAGTGCTGGACCTTGGAGCAACAGAGACAGTTGGCTCTTTGGAAGCTTTGATGGAGATCAGGAGCCGTATTCATGGAATGCAAGAGCCTGTAGAGGTCTACACTGGATAGTTTGGTCGAAAGCCCTTCAGGTTTGGCAATGGGTCTGTGCAGTACAGCTTGAGCTACATCACCACAATCCCTCAACGACTTGGTGATCAACTGGTTCACCTTGGCATGTACACCATCGACGCTGAGAAGGTGCCGATTTTGGTGGGGATCAAGAGGCTCACCAAGCTTGGCTCTGTGATTGACATGAGTGGCCGCTGGATGGTCTTATATCCAACGTTTCTCCGGAGGTGAAGATACCACTTGCTCGGAGCAAAGCTGGCCACCTTTGGGTCAATCTTACCCAAGGCTGGCTCACTTTGAGCCGACCTTTGCAGCCAGAGCCAGCCGAGGAAGCATACATGGTGCGCAGTTTGGGTTTGGAAGTTGAAGCAACAGGCCATGAGGTTCACATCATCAAGTGCATGAACATGTCTGAGAAGCCGTTGCTGACAGCCGTTGGTGAATCTCATCATGTTGAAGATGTTCGGATGATGAATGAAGATGGAGATGAAGGTGATGCAGGTTAAGGTCAACATGATGAGGATGTTGAAAGTGATGAGCTGGCATTTCTCATGGCTCCAGATCACAGTCATCAACTGCTGCCTTCAGCAACCCAAGAGATGCGAGACAGGATCTTGCGACAGTTGTCAAGCCCAACGCTGTCTTCAACTCCAACCGCTGCTTGCCATGCCGCCCAAGAAGGCCACTACTGAGACCAAGGGCAATGCCAAGCCGAAGGCGAAGGCGCCGGGCCGGACACGGAGAAGCACGATTGGGATCGCGACGCTGGTCCAGATCCCCAAGATCCTCGAACAGTGGGTCCTCCATCTCACGGAAGCATGTGAGATAGCTCCAGCGGGACGTGGCTCTCGGAGCGGCGCCAATCGTCGTGTGCGATGGGAGAGCTGCGAGGCGTGTGGCTTGCGCCTGTCCTACACTCCAGCATCATGCATGGGGCTCACACGGTCTGACCCGTCAAGCGGGACCACTCCATCAGGACACCGTGGACCAGATCAACGAGAAGAAGCCCGAGAACAAGAGCATCGAGCTGGTGGACAAGAAGATCGGCTATACCACGCCCAACAGCCTTCCTTGCAAGGAGAACCTGCTGAAGGCCGTGCGCAAGAAGGACGAGTGGGTCAAGCTCTAGACCGCCAAGGACGCCCAGAACAAGGGCTATCCCGAGCCGAAGTTCGACGACAAGTGGACCGAGGCCGAGAACCAGTTCCTCGATTCTACGGACCCAGCAGCGCTGGGATCAGATTCAGCGCCTTTGGATCATACGTCAAACCAATTCTGTCCGCCGATGATACCGGAGGAGCTCGCCGCCTACAAGAAGCAGCTGGAGGAGGAGATGACTCAGGCGCCGGGCAGAAAAGCCAGGAAAAGCAGAGGAGTCAGCAGAGAATCTGGAGTACTCTCAGAGGACTTACAGCAGACCAGGAAGGTTGGACACATGATGCAGGATGGCAAGAGCCTGGGGATGAACTATGAGGTTTCACTTGCAAGCAATTCAACTTCCAATTTTTCCACCACCACTATGGCAATTTCTTCGAAAGCCCAAGTGATTGATCCCACAGAGGGCAACAGCACAGGTTTCACCACAACTTCTGGCATTTTTCCGACGGAATCTACCACAAGCACTTTGCCTGCGAAGTCTTCTTCTAGTGGCAAGGAGGAAGAAGGACAATGATGACAACGAGGTGTTGGTCAACACGCTGGCAGATGAGGAGACAGCCTTCCTCGTGCAGGAGCTGAACAAGTTCAACAGCGAGATTGATGAGCCCTGTGCCACACTGAATGTCCTGATGGCTGTCCTCCCACAGTGCTGGAATTATGCTGTGAGGAGGACAGTGGTCTTACTAAGGCCATTGAACGCAGAGGGGGTCGAGGGATCCGTTGTGGACTTTTCAACGGCTGCGATTTGAACAAACAGAGTGGATTCAACAAGGTGATGGCATTGATAGATAGAGGAGGAAAGGCCTGACGCAGTTTGGGTGCGGTCCAACTTCAAGCATTCAAGAGCTGAACAAGCCGACGCCAGAGGGCATGGAGAAAGTTCAGGCGAAGGTTGCTAAGTCCCGCAAACTTGCTGGTCGTGCTGTGACATTGATGGAACTCCAAGTGGCTCGAGGTGGCGAAGTTATCCAAGAGTGGCCACGCTACAACAAAGGCTGGAAGTTCAACTGCGTCCAAACCTTTTGGAATCGCCGAGAACACCACTATATGCCTATGGCTTTGCCCATGGACTTTGTGCACCATGTGGTGGAGCAATAAAGAAGCCTTGGAGATTGCGGAGCGCGACGCGCCGCATTTGGAAGATGCAACGACTTTGCGAATGTCAAAAAGACCACATGTTCCTTGTGAAGGGGGCGGTCTGACCAGAAAGTCTACCCTCTACCCGTTGAAGATGTGTCAGCAGGCCGCACGAATGATGGAAGAGATCCACGGAGACTTGGTGGACAGCAGTTTTGCAGTCACCGATGCCACAGACTGCGACATGGACTGCCTCAAGACCTACACTGATCAAGAGCTGCAAACAACTGCTGGCGAGGTGGTCAAACCACATCCCAGTCGACAAACTTTCTCGAAGATGCTGCGTGATCGGATGCTGGTCAAGTGATTCGCACTTTGGCTTGTACTTTCCTGATTGTCCAGAAGCTGCAGTCCCTCCGTCGAGACGAGCTGTGACCATCGAGCAGGCTACTGAGCTGTGGGAGGTTATCCGACAAACATGGAGATCACTGTGGGCGACTTCACATACCACTTTCAGATCATCATCGACGAGGCTTCTGGCTACGGGGCAGCGAACTATCTGTTCAAGCACGATGCAGCACCTGGATGCAGCCGAAATGCAGCAACGATGGGGTGCATTGAAGCGCTCTACAAGGGATGGATCCAGTGCTTCGGATACCCCAAGATGATCAAGCTTGACAAAGAAGGGGCTCATCGAGGCCGACAATTGGAAAAGAAGGTCATGGAGTGGAAGCTCAAGCAGTAATTGCTGAGAGCCATGGCCAGATTGGCCAAGTGGAACGCATGATTGGCAACCTGAAAAGGAAGATGCTTGCTCACTTGAAATCTTCCGATGGCTCTCCAGAAGTTTTGCAGCATGGGCCTTGGTTGGAGCTCTCAACACTATGTCCAATGTGGGTGGCTACAGCCCTTGCAAATGGGTCTTTGGCCGCAACTTCTCCAACTCCATGCGACTCTTTGATGGACATGATCTTCCCTACTGGTCTGGAATGGCTTCATCAGCGAAGATGCAGCACTGGTCTGGAATGGCTTCATCAACGAAAATGCAGCACCAATTGCTCTGCCGACAAGAAGCAGAAAAGCATCACCGTGAGTTCATCTTGCGAGAGAAGACCAACCTGGCCTACAACACCAAGATGACAAAGATGGTGAGGTACGACCCTGGTGCTTTGGTCTATTACAAGCGATAACAGCCGCCTGCTGATCGCAACGAAAGACTTCACCAATCTTTGGATGTACCAAGACGGCGAGTGGCAAGATGGTATGGTCCGGCAAGAGTGCTGGCAACAGAAACAAAAGTTTCTTACGATGGTGCTGTGAGACAGCTTCACAATGTTTCTGGGATCATGGCATCTGGACGCTTCAAGAAGGTTCACACCAACCAACGTGAACAACCCATCGCCCAGGGAACTACGCAGTTGACCTTGCCCTGGACTTTTTAGGATTTGGCTTCTCTCATCAACAAAGGGGAGTATGACGATATGGTCAACCATGACTGAGCGACAGATGCGAGCTGATGCCAAGAAGACAAATATGGACTTTGAGGAGCATCAACGACAACAACGATCCATGGCAAAGCGACAATTGGAGGAGGAAGCTTCAGCATCAACGGGGCAGGAGCGAGCATCTGCAAGTACAGCCTCAAGACCAAGGACAGATCCCAAGCCTGAGGATGTTCCAATTTTGGAAGAGACGGAGGAGGACATCGCCCTGGAAGATGAGGAGATGGACCCTCGTCATCAAGTTCAACCTGGTCTTGAAGCTGACCGTATGATGAACGACCCCGAGCACTTTCCCATGCCACCACCTGATCCAGCAGCACTGTTTCGACATCCACTTTTCATTCAAGCGCGATGCAAGCATAAGATGAGCGAGAGGCCCTTCCATGTTCAGAGGCAAGAGTTTTTGCAACGGGGCACTGTGGAGACTGCGGATGAGGACATGCCTGTGGAGGACGCGACTGAGGTCAATGACATCTTCCTAGCTCAGGTGGACCGCTGTGACCTTGCCAACGCCGGCATCTAAGGCCGAGCGGAAGTATAGCGTGAAAGATCCTTCACGCTTCGATGCAAAGAAGCTTGCCAAGGCTGTTGGGGTGTCATGGCAGCGGCTCAACAATGAGCAACGAGCTGCAATGAAAGAAGCCAGGGGCATCAAGATCAAAAAATGGCTGGCAGCCCGTGTGTGCAAAGCAGCTGTGGGCGATGTACCGCCTGAACGCCTCATGCGTATGAGATGGGTCTTGGTGCTGAAGGGCGCAGATGACCCGAAAGTTGTCAAAGCAAAGGCAAGATTGGTCATCGTTGGATTTACCGATCCTGATCTTTGAGCTGAAGACGTCCCCAGTCCTACGCTCTCAAGAAGAGGTCGCCAATGATGGAACTTGGAAATCATCGCGGATGGTCAACTCTGAAATCCGATGCCAAAGCTGCGTTCTTGCAGACCAACGACACCCAGCAAAAGCGTCAGATCTTTGGAATGCCAATGACAGAGCTGCAGGAGGCAATGGACTTACCGCCTGGAGGCAAAGCTGCCTATGGCAATGGCCTATGGACTTACGGTGATACCCAAGGAGTTCTATCAGCACGTGGATGGCATTCTGCAAGGCTTCAAGCTATCACGCTTGAAGGTGGATCCTGCCATTTGGGTCCTCAAGGAGAAGGACAACATCACCGGCAAGACCGTGGTCTATGGCGCTATTGGTGCCCATGTGGATGACTTCCCGATGAAAAGAGCCAGAAATGGTGCGACTTTTTGGGGGAGTTCCGTGGGGCGGAACCTGGACGGGGCAAGATGCTCACAACACATGGCATCTGAGCCAATCCGAGTTCTGTGAAGGACTCAATCAGGTCACCGAGGATGGACAAGACAAGGATTTGACTGCCAATGCGCCAGTGCAGGGCGATCCTGGGCGCTGCACAGTGGAGGAGCTATCACCACAACATGCAGCCAAGCTGAGTCACCGACAAAGCCCTCTACCTCGTGGAGATCGCACTACGCTCATGCAAGGACAATAACAAGTTTGTGCGCGAGATCTACCACCTGAAGGATGAGAAGATTTCGGTGTATGACCTCAAGGCTGAGGATGACGCCGACATCATTGCTGTGGGCTGGAGCGATGCTGCTATAGCAAACCGTGTGCACCTCTCATCAACTGGAGGTTTTGTGATTGGGTTTGCTCACAGACAGATGCTGGAAGGAGTGCCAGGACCAGTAAGCCTTGTGAGCTGGAGGATGCACAAGCTTCGAGGTGTCTGCAGGTCAAGCTTAGCTGCAGAAGCTCAGGCCTTGGCTGAGTGTGAAGCTGAGCTATTTCTTGTCTGAGCTCTATGGCAAGAATTGCTTGGCGCTGAGCTGGACTTGGAGAACCCGTGGAACACCACCAAGCTGACGCCTGGTGTGCTGGTCGTGGATGCAAAGGCACTCTACGATACTCTGAGGCAACAGGATGTGCCAAACCTGTCGTCGAAAGAGAAGCACGCGGCCCTGGAAGTCTTGCGACTTTCCCAACACCTGGTGGAGCAGGCGACGATCTTACGTTGGTGAAATTCAGACCAGCAGCTGGCTGATGGGATGACAAAGATCTCTGCGCAGGATCGAGCCACGCAGTTCCTCAAGGGTAATCAGCGTTCTATGATGAGAGCTTCACAGCCGCCAAGAAACTGAAAGCGGTCAAAACGACAGCTGAGCCTGAAGTAGGTGTGAAGGATCCGACATGATTGGAACTGCTGAGTTCAACTTCGGGGCATGTGAAAATCCAGCTTCAGTCATGTCAAGTTCCCCTCAGCAATCCAACATGTCATCCGTGCCATACATGTCAGCATTCATCCAACCCTGCCAGGTTCATCACATGTCATAGCACAGACATCCATGCTTTCTGCCGCAGGGATCCCTTTGGCCATTCAGGCACTGAAAGCCCACGTTGGCCTTAGAAGGCCATTACCGACTTCGTTGCTGCCATGGGTGGAAAACCATCTTTGCCGTTGGCTGCTGGGCTTGGGAAACCGAGAAGTGTAACAAGTTTGACTAGCAGTGCCACGGGCTACCTCACAAAATCATCCATTTTAATGTTGTTTTCCATTATAAGCCATCCATTTGGTGGTATCATCATTTGTGGAACATCGCGCCATCGCAGCAGCCCCGAACATCTTGTGCCGAGTCAGGGGCCCCAGTATGGCCGTCGACATGAATATCATTATTTGTGTTTTTTCTTCTCGTCCTACTGTGTTTTTGATATTCTGTATTTTGATATTAGATATAATAGGATGAATTGACGCTGCCAAGTGCTTTGAGAACCATCCCACTTAGTACGTTCACAAATGCTGACCCTAGACAATAAATTTCCTCTACTTGGACTATCCCATGAATTTATATTTATTTATGATTTAAAGATCTCACTTACTCACACCACAACATGACAAGCAAGTTTCTCTTGAGTCGTTCACGCAGGACGTCAATGACGTGATGTTGGACACATTGGACTCCGGAATCACCTACCGAGATGCAGTCTGTCGCTGGCTGAACGCCAAAACCGAACGTTGGAGGAAGTGGTGCCCTGCCATGAAATAGACACGCGATGGTTAACAAAAAAATGAATCTGAAGGTAGTTTTTTAACAGTTGGCAAGGCCAAAATGAAAGTTGATGTGGAAATTACCATGACATTTTGGGCCAAACAACCTAATTAGTCAGGTTCGCGGCTGGGGGGTGAAGGCAATCAAAAAATAGAATCCAAGTATATGATGTACTGCTAGTTTGATTTCTACATGTTGGTTCGAAACTTCATGTTTCTACCTAGTCACTCTGGGGGGAGAGGTATCAAGGGAAAAACTAGTAGGGACTGAAAACAAACAAACTTTGTACCTAAAAGGATAGGAGGGAAGGAGGGAGGAAAGAAGGAAGGAAGCAGGGAGGGAAGGAAGGAGGGGATGGGAGGAGAGGGAAGGGAAGGGAAGGGCTCTAATGCTACTACCACTGCTATTGTTTTTCTGTGTTATTCGTTTAACCCTTTTTGTGTTGTTGACCCCCTTGGCCAAAGAGTTTTTGCTTACAATGTATACTGTATATACCCTCAACTACTTAAGGTCTATAGTACTGGAGCCTTGGGGGGTAGACCACCATGGGTCTGAACTAGTGCTCGTACTACTATAGACCCCAAATATTTATATATTTCATTCTAGACCCTGGACATTGTGAACACCCAAAAAATAAACTACCATGTGATCTATTTTACAAGATGTTACAGGGAAATACAGATCATGTTGCAAGATATATCAAGATACAACATGTATCCCTACATGTTCATGTATACAATATATGTACTTAGTTGTCAACAAAATCATTCCCATGTCATCCATGCCGCAAACGAGCATTGCAACAAGTCTTGGAATGGTCTATGATTTTAAAATTCAATGATGGTGGCTTGATTTTGAAAGAAGCAGTGGTAGACATGAGTAGGCTGCGCTGGAGAAAGTAGGTTTCTACCAGGTAGCTTGGGTCTACTTTGATGTCATCGGGTTTCTTATGTTTTTTTGGACGGCCCACCCGAGGGAACACCATTCTAGACCTTCCCATTTCATCCATGCTGCAAACGAGCATTGCAACAAGTTTTGGAACGGTCTATGATTTTAAAATTAAATGATTGGTGGCTTGACTTTGACAGAAGCAGTGGTAGACATGAGTAGGCTGCGCTAGAGAAAGTAGGTTTCTACCAGGTAGCTTGGGTCTACTTTGATGTCATCGGGGTTGTTATGTGTTTTTGGACGGCCCACCCCAGGGAACACCATTCTAGACCTTCCCATTTCATCCATGCTGCAGCATTGCAACAAGTCTTGGAATGGTCTATGATTTTAAAATTCAATGATGGTGGCTTGATTTTGAAAGAAGCAGTGGTAGACATGAGTAGGCTGCGCTAGAGAAAGTAGGTTTCTACCAGGTAGCTTGGGTCTACTTTGATGTCATCGGGCTTGTTATGTTTTTTTGGACGGCCCACCCGAGGGAACACCATTCTAGACCTTCCCATTTCATCCATGCTGCAAACGAGCATTGCAACAAGTTTTGGAACGGTCTATGATTTTAAAATTCAGTGATTGGTGGCTTGTCTTTGACAGAAGCAGTGGTAGACATGAGTAGGCTGCGCTAGAGAAAGTAGGTTTCTACCAGGTAGCTTGGGTCTACTTTGATGTCATCGGGGTTGTTATGTGTTTTTGGACGGCCCACCCCAGGGAACACCATTCTAGACCCCATGGCTTTGGCCTCCTACAGGAAAGCATGAAAGTTTTGAAACATTTGGCAGAAGAGGGAAAGCAAGCAAAGAACAGGGCAACACTGAAAGCAATGTGACTCCTTCCAAGAATGTGCATGGTTCAGTCTCCATGCAAGTTTCCTTGGGTCAATCCCCTCGGAGCGTTCTTGAAAGATGGAACTCCTCTCAGCCTCAATGCCTTCCAGCACCAGCATCAGCAACAACTGTTTTGAACAAGAAAGGCAACAAAAGCACGGAAAAAATGCGATCCGATCCTGGCTCATCTTGCATCTGATGTTGGAACATGTTGGAACAACATGGGGAGGTACTGAAAGGTAATGGAAAATATGAAGAATATAGCATGAAATATACATGCAAATAATTGTGTCTGGGAAACCTCTTCAGACCCCGTGAGGAAAGCTGATCAGACCCCAGGCCTGCCATTTACAGGAAGGTCTGGACAGATGCATTTTCAGCATTTGGGTTTCTCCAATGGAAACTTGAAAAGACCCATCCTTCAGGGTCTATAGGGTTGTATATCTAGCCCCCCCCAAGTAGTTGACGGTATTACTGTATATGGTGTTTTTTTGTTGCTTGTCTTTATTGATCTGTTCGTTCTGTTTCTTTCTTGATCCCTATTTGTTGTTTTTAGACCTCCTAGCCCAGTGTAGCCCAGTCCGGGGCCTGCCCGATTTTGTGGCACGTTTTCCTTCTGCCTTCTCCTTTCTAAGATGTTGTTAGGCCATACCATGCCCTAAAGCCCCTGTGGCACCAGCACCAAACTCCAGTCTCCAGTTTCAAACCTTCAAACTTACTCATTTGGTTTCTGTAGATGTTAACGGTTGAAACAGGTTCACCGTCCACCAATTAGCCATCCTTGCATCAGGCTACCGGACAAGACCTTGTGTGTTGCTGGTTTCGGCCTCTATGACATTAGCGCAGATGTTTTCGTGCAGAGTCGCAGTGGGGATACGGCCAACATTGAATGCCGAGTGTGTCCTTCCGGCCATTTCTCCGAAACAAAGTTGCATTTGGTTTGGATAAAACTCGTGTGTAGGCCCAACAATTTCAAACCCTGGCACTCACAGCGTATGATCATCGTCCATCGTAAAACATTCATTTCTGGTTGTTCTAACCTGACAAATCCCCACCTTCTATTGAAACTGCTGCCGGTTTGTTTCACATCCCAGATGCCTAAACTTCATACTACATGACCTATAAATTAGTCATTGTTAGTCTATTTTCAATCCCATTGGCGACCCTTCAAGAAGAATAAGTGTGAAGTAGTATCACTGGGTCAGAACTTTCTCGGCCGTTGCGCTCACCGCACCCGCAGAATCATAGACTGTCAACTTCGGATCAATAAACTCGCGATTTACAACAGTGGTTTGGTGAGCTTTTGAGGGGTAGCAATCAACCAGGGTCAAAATGTCAAGGGTTGACTCCATTATACGTTTAGCATCGTTTAGCATCATTGTGTATATCTAAATCAGATGTAGAACTATTGATCCATATGTAGAAATATTGGTACATGTTTTCAAATTTTTGATGTGATATTTGGTGCTGTACCCTTTTGAATCCCTTTCGCACTTTTTAAACAAATACATGACCAGCGGGTTTCAATGAGCATTTCCTGGGAAGGTACGTTGAAACCCCATAAATGGAATATCGGCACTCTGGCAAAGGACAATAGGTTGATGGAACCCAGGCAGGCATGACCATCAGGAACTACTGCCCCTACAGGTGGTCGAGTGCTCTGATTGCATTCGCCGAGGACAGACTGCAGGATGACAAAGGTGACAAAGGCATGACCTTCATTTGCCAACCTTGTCCAGCCGGTCGGTTTCAAGCGTCCGCTGGAATGGTTTCTTGTGATCCTTGCCCGAAGGGAGAATATCAAGGCAGCTGGGAGTTGGATTCGAAGGGACCCCCAAGCAAGGACATCCCGGTTCTGGGCTAAGAGGCTAAGAGCATACTGTAGTGGTTTCCCGATGCTCCCAGCTAAAACCTTTCCTTGAAACGCATCCTGCGATGAATTTGTTTGGTACTGTGCCAGGGACTGGGAAAAAAACGCGTTTGGCACTTTTGTGTCAGCTGAGTAGTTGAAAACATGATTGCTTCCCATTCCTCCATAGGGTTCTGTGGGCTCAACACAAACTACAATCATACGAGTTGAGTCTATTAATTGCTTTGTTGCATTGGCACCAGCATTTTTGTGACTGCAGTCACAGGCTTGTGACTTTGCAGTCACAGACTTGTGGCTTTGCAGTCACAGACTTGTGACTTTGCAATCATAGGCCCAGTCTTGCAGTATTGGTTCAAGCCAAATTCTTAGCTAATTTCAAATTACTTCACTTCGAATGATCCCCACCATGACATTTATAAATTCTCTTACTGGCAAATCTTCTGGCATTCTATCTGACATATCTTCTGGCATTCTATCTGGCAAATCTTCTGGCATTCTATCTGGCATATCTTCTGGCATTCTATCTGACATTTTATCTGGCATATCTTCTGACATTTTTTCTGGCATTCTATCTGGCATATCCTCTGACATTCTATCTGACATATCTTCTGACATTCTTTCTGGCATATCTTCTGACATTCTGTCTGGCATATCTTCTGACAATCTTTCTGACTTCTTTCTGGCATTCTATCTGGCATATCTTTTGACATTCTATCTGACATCTTTTCTTCCCGTTGAGGTCCGGCAGTGCCCACTGCGATCTGGAAGTCGCGGTTGAGGTCCGGCAGTGCCCTCTGCGATCTGGAAGTCGCGGTTGAGGTCCGGCAGTGCCCACTGGGATCTGGAGCTCGCGGTTGAGGTCCGGCAGTGCCTACTGCGATCTGGAAGTCGCGGTTGAGGTCCGGCAGTGCCCACTGCGACCTGGAAGTCGCGGTTGAGGTCCGGCAGTGCCCACTGGGATCCTGAGCTCGCGGTGGAGGTCCGGCAGTGCCCACTGGGATCTGGACTGGGAGGAGGAGGAGGAGGACGAGGAGGAGGAGGATGCGGAGGCGGAGGAGAAGGAGAACAGCTCTGATAAAATCTAACAACCCTCACAGGGCAGGTGGGGAAAAACATGATTTCCTAAATGTTTAAAAACCGTCAGTTTGCCCCTCATGAGCCCATGTTCCCCCAAATAATAGGCAGGGCTTGCCCTAATTAATCAACTGCCTTGGTTCCTTAAGATTTTTTTTGGTCCAAAGGAAAATCAATTGAGAGTAGATTATTGGTATCAATTGAAGTCCTCACTGATTTTCAGATTTCATTTTGGTTTAAACTGAAAAGCAGCTGAAAGTAGGTTGGTACCAATTGAAATCCTCACTAATCTTTAGATTCATTTTTTAGGTTTTAACTTTTAACGGAAAATCAATTGGCAGTACATTGATATCAATCGAAATCAATTCTAACCTTTAGATTTCCTTTTGGTTTAAAAGGATTATGAAATGAAAGTTCCTTGATATCAATTGGAAGTTGATCTCTTATTACTTCAACTTAGGAGGTCGATTAGATTAATTAGGAAGATCCAACTTGACATGATAAGTCAGCTACAACCCCATTGATGGAATGATACCCTCATTTTTCTGAACATGCAATAAACTAGAAATAATTGATATTTCGGTCAACTGCAGGTTGGTGTCAGTTTCTAAACCAAACGTGCCAGGTTCACATGGCAGCCAAGCTTGCTTGCGCTGCGACTTGGAGACCTACCAGGCCAGATCGCGGAATCACGGTGAAAATCACGTGCTTTTGCGGCCACTTGTAGATGTTTACCCATAATTTATCCATTGCAATAGGAATTTCCATGTACATTTTGGGGTATCCCCATTTTTGGAAACCCCACTTAATTCACAATTTATGCCTGACGTTTGCCGATACAGTGCCGGTATGCAGGGATGTAGATGTAACCTGCCATAATTTTGCAAACATGACTGGTTTCCATCGGGGTCAAGGAAAGAGCCACAACTGTAACAACCTATATAATTATGGATGTGGTACATACCGCAAGCACTGGACCTTGACAGAAGTTTGATGAAGTTTGTTTTTTTATCGAGGTCTTGGCTCTGTACAGCGCGGCTCTGTACAACACAGCATATGAATATGGTGAATATGATGAATATGTTGAACATGTTGAATAAGATGATACAATGATGAGTTTGATGAATATGATGATGAATAATCAGATGAGTGGTGGTGATGATGATGATGATGGTGATGATGATGGTCCTCATTATGATGGTGATTATTCCCCAAAGAATGTGGCCACGGTAAGTGTTAAGGACCGGTGTTCATTCGAGGTGGTATCTTTATGTATCTCTAGCGTTTGGCATTTTCTCCAAAATTTCTGTATAAAATGGCTCTTGTCACATGTCCATGTGCATTTCGACTGCTCATACAGGCATGGATGTTTCCTGAAATGGGGGCACCCTCAAATCATTTATTTTAATAGGAACTTCCACTATAAACCATCCATTTTGGGGTATTTCCATTTATGGAAACCCTGAAATCTTGCCAAGAAACCTCTCTTATAGGGTGTTTGTTCAGAGATCTTGCCAAGAGACCTCTTATGGAGATCTTGTTCAGAGATCTTGCCAAGAGACCTCTGACAGAGATCTTTCCAACAGAGCTCCCCTAGAGATCTTGTACAGAGACCTGGTGAAGAGAGCAGCGGTCTTGCTCAGAGATCTTTGATTGAGAGCTTGAACAGAGATCTCTCAGTGAGATCCCTGACAGAGATCTTCTGTGGAGATCTCCTATAGACACCTTGTACAGATAGCCTTACACAGGGATCTTGCACAGCAGCTTCTACAGAGAACCTGTCAAGGAGTTTGCGCAGGATCTACAGAGGTCTTCACGCAGGGAACTTGCAGAATCTGACCTCGTATCTCTTCTTGTCCTGCTAGCTTGCAGCCAGTGATGATTTTAGGTCCTTTCCACCTTTCCTTTTAGAGTCCTAACTACACACTGCTTGGGGTCCCTTACCGAGATTTTTCCGTTTTTTTATTATTTTGTATATTGTATTTTAAAATCAGTATAGGTTATTACTAGCTATTTTTTTATTGTTGTACAATCTGATTATTGCTATTTTGGTGGTGCTGATGGAGATTCTGATTTTGCAAGTGTCCAGTTTGGCGGCGCCCGTTGTGCCTCTGCCAGGATGTGGAAGGCCAGGCGGAGTGCAAGCAGTGCCCTGCAGGCACCAGCACACTTGGCCTTGGAAGCATTTCTCAAACGGACTGCGGCTGTGAAGCAACTTGGCTCCACGACTCCGCAGAGTTTGAAACATCCCCTGATCCTGGTGGACATCCCCTGGATGATGTGGGTATATATATAACTAACTAACATGACATTGTGGCGCTTTCGCTTTGACCTATCGACTGCAACTACCACAGTATTGAGGAAGACATCCCTTGATTTTTGGTAAAGTGCACGAACTACGCGGCAAAAAATTGAACGATGTGAATTCTAGGGATGTCAATGATATCATGCGATTGTCGGCCCAGGCCGACAGCATCAATGTACCTGGCGATAACAGCACGGCCAGCACCAGCAACGTGACCGTAGCCTCCATTTTCCAATGTCAGCCCTGTGGTGAAGGGTTGCGCTGCCCCTTTAGCTCCGCTGTTGAAAATTTGATCAGAGGTGGGGCGCCCGGGGCACCTGCAGGATCTCAAGGGTTTTGTTGAGAAGTTTGTGGTTGGCTTCGTCAGCAATTCAATAAACAGAAAGGAGAATGTTAAAATATGTGCAGTTTGGTCTATTTTGCATTGGTGAAGCTGAATCTTCCGCGAAAAATAAGAAAAGAGACAATTCATTCAGCCTGTCCTATTGTGTAAGAAAACGTGTTTCTTGAAATTTCTCAAAAACTGGCTGGTCCACCTCACACAGCACGAGGAAACCAAGGCAGCTGAGTCTTGCCAGGTCAGTCCACGCTCGGGCCGAAATTCACGCCTGAGATTCAGGAAGGCTACGTGTCGGATCCCGCTGAGCCAACGAAGATCTTCAAGTGCCAGCCCGCTGCGAATTGACCTTTGGCTGCCAGGGTGATACTGAGTCGTTTTCGTCCCATGGTGTCCCATGTATTGTGTGCAAGGTGTGTCCATGCCATGATGGACTTTTTGTTGGCGGTTGGCAGGTGTTCGGGTTGGTTTAACCACTGGACACGGCCATGTCTTGCTTCCATGCCAGCTGTCTTGGCGACACAGCAAACAGATGATTGACTGTTTGTCAGGCGCCCTTTCCAAGGGGATGTCATGAAGGACATAGTTTCGGGATGTTTCGGGATCAAAAACTGGCCGAATACATACCAAAACAAAGCCAATAGACAGATCCCCAATTCAAAATTATTTTAAAGTCCCTAGATCATGTGCTTTTGTTTCTTACCGATCCCATGTGTGTCCCTGACTTCCGGACTTGCTGTAGATGGTTGATAGGTTGGGGCCTTTTGATAATGGTATAAAGTTTCTTTTTATTGCCTGAGTGCTTCAAGTAGCAGAACTGTAGCCATTACCCAGCCTAGTTTTAAGCCTTGCTTCGGCTTCATGAAGCAGGCGAGAACGGTTTTTCACTCATTATGGGGGGCCGTTGTAGGGTTCAAATAAGCATTTATTTTTCACCAAGGTTGAGAGATAGTTAATATTCTCGACCCTCCAAATCCTAGAAATATATCATAGTAATTCATAATATATCCATATTTTCGGAGTTTGGCCTATATCGACTGATTTTACCCAAAACACCTATAGATCTTACTCTGGTCTTCGATTTTAGGACTTTGATTGCATGTTTTTGGGCTTGGTGGGACAAACACCAAACAATCTTTGCAAATCCTGAAATCTCGTTGTTTTAGGTAGTTTTCGGATTTGTTTAGAGTTCGAAAAAAATCACGTTTTGTGTACGTGGGCGTAGTGCTGAGATTTTCCCAGAAATGTAGATGTTTGGAACATGAATCATTTTTGGGATTGTTTGACCTATCTTCTTAGAACGACCATTTTGTCCTCGGCTGTGGGTCGAGGATTTTTGGGATGTGTTACTAGCCACCAGCCAGATCCAGCCAGTTACAGCGGCTGAGCATTGCGTGCGCCAAAAAAAGGTGGCCTCATGTGTTCCCGCGAAACGCTTTGGCACTTTATGAATTTACAATGAGATCCTAGAAAAAAGTTTCCTGGGAACCGATCCATAGCTGGCGCTATGGATCAGTTCGTCTTGTGGCAAAGCAACAAACCTTGGGTGAGAAAACCAGTTCCACCATGTTGCATATTTCTAGATAGACATGCGGGGGACTTTAAGTCCAATCAGCGCCTCGTTTGCTGCAGTGATGGGGTCATGGCTAGCCCGAATTCGATTTTATGTGAGACCCGCTGTCGGGCCATTGTTAGACACACCCCCACTTCAACATGACGATCTGCTTTTCTCTCCTGCGCTTTATTCAAGGTCCTGGGGGAAAACCTGGAACGTGCAGTGGCGGTTTACAAGGAAAGCTGTGCAGCAGGCGTGGCAGAGTGAAGTGTGAACCGGCTGTGGGAAACAGAGTCAACACGATAAATTCTTGATAATGTCATTCAATGTTGAAGAATTGCATGTGCAGAAACTGTTTATGTAAACTTATTATTATCGTTCCTGCACATGGAGCATGGACACCCCGCCATTCTTGCCCCAATGCCATTGGTAGAGCGAGTTTCCAGTGCGGCCCCTTCAGGACCTTAAAAGTGGATTAGTCTGTGCAATGGACGGTTTGCTAGGTTCTGCTTACAAGTTCCCTGTCAGTCAAATCTACAGCATCATGTTTCCCAGCGTTGGCCTCGCAAGTGAAACCTATACCTTTTTCGGACACAGGATTTTTGTTTTTGGGTTTCAATCTTCTGGGGTTGTGGCTTGGATACCTGGCATCCTTGGGATTCAGGAGCCGCTCAACCACATTTGAGCTATTGGGTGAATGTTACTTACACGATCTTACAATCTGGATCAAGTTGGCAAGCATGTCAGCAACTTCATCATATTTCAACTACATGTGAGGCACTGGAAAAAAGGGCAAAATCCATCACAGATTCGGAGTGATTCATGCCTTCAGCTGACTTTGAGATTCGCCTCCTCGGAGGTGCTCAGCAGGGGAGGCTTGGATAGACGGGGCCTGCACCGCCTGTGAAACTGTCCATTTTGTTGGTTGGTGCATCTTCGGCACTGCGGTGCCTTGGGCGAAGTTTGTTTTTCCCATGTGTTTGAAGTCCTCGGCAATATGTAGTCACGGTCCCTTTCCATGCCTGGGCCACCATGGGCCCATGTCAGCAAATGACCATATATACCTATATATATATATATATATATATACCCATATATATATATACGTACATATTTTGGCGGTTCAGATGTGTATTGGTCAGTATTGTTTTTCATGTTTTTTCTATATCCCAAGCCTTCTACGTTGAAGTTCACTTAGTTCTCCGAAAAGGCATGGAAAGGCCATGTTTTCAAGCCTACGGGAAAACCGATCGTGTGTTTTGTGTGTTTTCTTTTGGGGTGGCGTGGGGAGGGTAATAACGTTGTGTGCCGACGTACTCATTGACATGATGCCAGGCTGCAACATGCTCACTTGCGCTACGCTCTACTGTACGTTCTATTGCACTTGCGCACATGCGTCATGCTAAGCTCATAGTAGCTCATACACACACACATATATATATATATTATATATGTCTACCTTCTTTTGCACTTGCGCGCATTATGCTAAGCTATTGTGCCTTCTCTCGCGCTTGCGCACATGCTGGATGCTACGTTACTGTACGTTCTCTTGCTCACATGCCTGATGATTGGGTGGGGGTTGGGGCAGTGAGTGAATAGGTTTCATGATAGTTCTCAGAGACCCGGCGCCAGTCACATGCGTGGTAATGAAATGAAGCAGGTTTCAACACATGGAGATGTCAAAAAACAAAAAAAATGTGAAGAAAATCCGGAAGTGTGCTGGTCGCACGTTCTGGGCTCAAAAAACGGGAGTCTGCTTAGCCAAGATCTGAAAGTCAGCAGCAAAACGTGCTGGCGCTGTGGTTTCGGTCATGCTTTGATATGCATTGTGTTGAGATGCATTTGTTTATACGCCTTGCTATCTCTTTCTAAAACTTGACGTCAGGAACTTGCAGTTCCAAATTTGATGGTGCCCCGAAACAGTGGACCTAAGGATGTTTTGTCGTTTTGGTGGTCATTGGGTGATTCGTGGTCTGTGCACAGGCTTGGGCTTAGCAACTGTATAGCGGTGTGACCGCTCCGAACGCATCGATACAACAAAAACTCACGTCCTTCTTGCGCGTCGAGCATGGCAAACTCCAAAACAAGTTTTTCTGCTTATTCAGCACGCCCATGCTGCCCCACAAAAAATACAAAAACACTCGAAAACTAAAATTTCAAAACCAAGGGTTTCAACTATGTTCTACTTATTTCTACTTTTTTCTATTTATATCTACTTGTGTTTACTTAGAAGTAAATTCTGACCAATTTAAGAATACTTAAGTTTAATATTAGTTTAAAAATACAACATAAATAAGGCATAAGATAAGTGCCTGCAAGTGTGCATAACAAACACAAGTTCAAACCGACCAGTTGGTTGGCATGAGCCTAAGTGTTCATTTTTTTTACACGTTTAATTTCCAACCCGGCGGGCTGTTTAACTACGGCCTGTGCCAGGTGATGCACTTGTTCAGATCTGAACGTAAAAGGTGTTGTTGCGAGATAGTTTGGTGCTACGGTTGTTTGAAGCAAGGGTTAAGACCAGACAAAGTGGGGTGTTAGAAAAAAAAAACGCAAAAACAGATTCATAACAGGACTCAAAAGTAAAAACATGCCCTAGAAAGAATGGGAAAGCGAGAAACAGGAAGACTCAAAAAAGGACTCAAAAATATGCACAAATACAGACTCAAGAACACATGAAGTCACTAGGAGCCGGCCTGGGAGATGGACTGAAACAACTTTGATCATGCTTGATCATGTTTGATCCATGTTCCTCCATTTCCCCTCATTGTTTGTACTTCACTCCATGTTCCTATATTTTCCTCATTTTTCCTCCATTTCATGCCATGTTGCTGCAGTTTGTTGCATGTTGTTTCGTTTTCGTGCATTTTTACTGGATTTTGCTTACTATTTCTGAGTTTTTGGTGATTCAGTGATTCATGTTTTGTTTTTTAGATACTTTTTCCGTTGAATGTTTTCACAAGTCCATTTTTGAGTACATGTTTGCGTTTTTTTCCCGCAAAATCAACTCTGCGTGGAAGTGGCGTGGTCGCAAGGCAACGGCCTCAGATAGATTTGAAAGTTGAACCAGGATTTTGGGATATTTATTTTTGTTTATTCCACATTTACCGGTGGCAATGTTTTTGACCAAAAAGCAGGGGGTACGAGAAATGCCCGTGAAAGAGCCTGTGTGTATTTTGCCGCTCCTTTGTTGAAAAATAGTTCGAAGGCCAGAGCCATCATCCTCAAAGCGAACAAATACCCAAGCGAATGAGAAAATTGAAATTTGGATTCAAGATTTGGTCAATGCTGGTTGGCGTTCCGATGAGGGAAAGACAAAGTTCGGACAAAGCTGCCTAAGAGCCGTGCATGCAGGTTGAGAATGGGGTAGACGTGAGGAAAAAAGAACATTGCATTGGTCGAACGGTTGGTGACCGGTTTACCGTCGAAGGTTGAGATCATTTTTGCAGAAGAAATCTAACTATGTGGAAAAACCACGTCCATGGACATATGGAGGTTACCTAACTTTTGGGTACCCCCAAATCATCCATTTTGGTGGCATTTTCCATTATAAACCATCCATTTTGGGGATCCCCCCTTGATGGAAACCCATATGAGAACATCTTGTCAAAATTGCCTCCGTGGCGAGGAAACCAAACAATTTCTTTTCCCATTGCTCAGGTGCTGGGAGGAAGTCTTGCTTCCTACTTTGTCGTGAACTTACCAGGACTGCTCGCAAGCCTTGCAAGCTTTCTATTTTCTACCGTCTGAATTTAACCTTTTTGCCAACACTTGAGCCGCGTCACACAGCATGTTTATGGCGTGGGTACTTGCTCTATATATAGTTTTTGCGGCTGGCATTCCGGTCGCGGCCAAGATGTGGCCGCATCGCCAACAAGCAAAGCATAAGCACAAAAAAAGGCACGGTGCCTTGGCGCAGCCAGAGTGAACCGAGCCTCCAGCCGTCGCGACCATTGATTCTTTGAGTATGCTTGTCCTGCTAGTGTTTTTTCCGATTTGTTGGCTGTAGGCCACATTCAACAATTGAAGTTGCACCATTATTGCAACCTGGAAAATTCAAAGAAAAATGCTTCGATCCATGGCAAGTGTTGCTTCTCATGTTTGTAATAGGGGGCATGGCGGTTTACTGATGAATGGAGCCTTCCCTTCTACCCAAAATGACCTTTGCAAATCCCAATGGGTGTCACGGTTTAGAGGATCAAGAACAGCTTCGCCACTTCAACTGGTCCTACTGACCTTTGGCTTGGTGATTTATGCTGTGCAAACCGTGGCGCTCTTCGGCATGATGTCAGTCACTTGCCGGTGATGATGGATGGGGAGCACCAGAGTCTTCTCAGAGCCCTTCACCGCACCATTATTATGCATACTCTAAACAATGAAAGCCGATTGTCTCACGAGCTTTGAAAGGGCTTGACCTATTGTTGGTTGAGCGTGACATTTTGTCCTTCTGCTGCGTTTGTTTATTTTTTGCATCTTTCAACCCCTTTAGCTACTTGTGGACTCGGCTCAGACCAGGCTGCTGGCTAGTTTCGGCCAGCGTGTTGTAAATCATCAGAGCACTCCTCATTTTTTCGCCCACGTGTATAGGATAATTGTGGGGAAATAACTTGAGAGAGGGAATTCATCCCATGGCGCGCCGGGACTGAGCTTTGTCAGGTCGCTTTTGCAGGAAGGGTGAGGAAATTTCCAATATCGCTCGTTATGTTGCCACCATTCTGACCCCGAGGGTGTGGTTAGCGTGCTTGATTTGCACAGTCTAGTCGTAGTTGTTGCCACCCCTGCAGGTTAGGACGGCAAGGTTGTGACATACTTGTGTCACACTGTGAGTTTTGCACGCGTTTTTCTTTTGAACGACTTTTGATTCACTGATGGACTCTTCATCTGTGTGTGAGTTATGTTTTTTCTGTTGTTTTCTCCATGTTGAGGTCTTTGAACTATGTAGCGGTATATAGGGTCCTTGGCCTTCAGCCCAAACTCTTGGAGCTACCATGCACAAATCGGGCCGTTGCTTAGGTGACCTGGCCCAGCATCTTCACTTCAACATCGGGTTCTTTGCAGTTTGCTGTGTTGGACCTGAGCAGGTCCACCTTGCAACTTGCCCGGCAACGGGAGTGGCTGGAGTTATAGTGCAGGGATGCATGGGTCAAAGCCGCAGGATGCAGGAGGGGAGTCTGCTTCATTTTCATGTCTGACGTGCCAACCCTTTCTAGCGGCAAAATAGGTTCATGTCATGATGCTGTGAAGTGAATTGCTTTGTCTGGCTTGGCCAGTCAATTGAATTGTGTCATGCAACATGGCCTGTGACAGTTGCTCCAATTGGCAGCCAGGTGGCATCAAAATCATATGTCCCTTTCCGGGTCCAAGGTAGCCACAAACGAAAAAAAAAAAGTACAGTATATACATATACAATCATATACATGCATATGATAATATAATATGTGTTTGTATATATATATAATCCCTCCTACCTTAATGAAATTATTTCAGGGGGGGGTTACCCTCCAAAATAATTTTTTGAAAATAATTTCAAAAATCTAACATGTTGGATGTATAGATTTATAGACTCCAACCATCACCAAAATAATTTCTGGTTGGAAATTATTTTGATGGGTTACCCCCCCCTCAAAATAATTTTGACGAAAACACTCTCACAGCAAAAAAAATATTTCAAAATAATTTTGGTGTTTGACCTTGTTTTGATCCGATGGCATATTCCACCTTTGGATGAAGGAATGTCGTACACTCAAGTTTCTGCAGGCTGTGTTCACACAGCACTTCTTCGCAGTGATGGCAGTGTTGTAACTTTCGGAGGAAACGATGTAGAACAATGCGATATCCCATCTTGCGCAATGTTGGACTTGCAAAAGTTGCTTATTATGTTTTAGGTTTTTTGTTTTTTTAGGATTGATGCGTTGCGAATCCTACAACGCAAATAAATTCAACATCATGTTTCATGTGTGCTCCCTGGTAGTCATGTCAGAATCTCCCCTCAATCTTAAGTTGCAGCAAGAACGCATCAAAACTTGCAACTCGAAACCAAACTCGTTCTTTAAGAAATTATTCAAAGGATCTTGGAGATGCCCTGCATTCCTCAAAAATCAAAGTGGGAAGCTGCCAGAACCATCCAATTCGCCCATAAACTGGAAACAAATGAAAAACCTATCAAAACCGAACGCTTCCCAAAAAAGAGTTCGTTGGAGGGAAATGAAGGGAATATCGCCGGAGGGGGGCAAAATAATTAACTCCCCAGGGGTTGAAATAATTTTTACGAAGGTTCACCACCGTCGATGAATGGGAGGGGGGGTCTATCGTAAGAAATTATTTTACCCTAAAGAGGGTTGTTTCGTATAACAACCGAAGACACTATCAACCCCCTGAAAATAATTTCGGAAATTATTTTGAGGGGGGGGGAGGGGGGGTAGTTTAGGTAGGGTAGATTATATATATACATCTATATTTATATTTGCAGATGCATACATATATATACAAATATGTAAATATATGTGTAGATATGTGTAGATATGTGTGTATATGTGTTTATGTGTTTTTATATATATATATATATGTATAGGTATATGTTTAGAATATGCATGCATATATCTATATATATATATGATTATGCATCTATATTATATACTATATATTTTAGTTATAATATATATATATATATATATTATAGTTGTATATTTAATGACACACACACATATATATATATACATATTAGGGATTTCACTGTCATTTTGTATTTGTTCTTTTTTGTTATTAAAGATATTTTAGCATCCCAGCTCACATTCCCGATATTCCCGTCCTGGTTTCAGCTCAATGGTGCATTGTGCCCGGGCCAAGGACTTGCTTGACCGGCTGGGGGGACACAGAGCGTTTCATGATGTTTGCCATGGTGTTTCCGGTGCTTGCCCTCTGGGTCTTGTTGGCGTGGGCCATCTCCCACTACTTTCCGATCAAGAGGCGAGGCTGCGATTGCCCGGGGAGACCAGTGAAAATCCAACAGGATGTGACCGGGTGTCCAGGAAATTTGGTGTTCCACAATTTCTACATGATTGGAGAAAGACTGCCATGATCAGAAGTAATTGGGTTTGGGCGGGGTACTTTGAAGTTTAGCCCAGAGTTGCGGTATTTGGCATCCAGCTCATTTTTCGAAGAGTTCCGTGAAGAGCGTTGGTGTTTCATTCTTCCAGGATAATGTTTCTTTGCAATTGTTTTCGCATGCTTTCGCTGGTCATCTGTGCTTCAGGTTAGGACAGCCTTTGTCAGGGAATTCCAAAACCAGTTTTGGGTGTTCAAACCCCTTTGAAGCCATATTTAGAAGCTGGGGCATGGTATCATGCAGTGCCAGACAAGAATTACCGTTGAGGTGGCCCAGTTGGGTTTTGACCTACACCTTCAACACCATTGGCGTGTTCTGTCAAGCTGGCTTTGCTTCCATTTGCGCCATAGCATTCCAACCTATGATGTGCTACGCCCACCCTAATGGAATGCACAGTCTTTCGGCAGCAGGGCGGTGAACGTGCAGCTAAATCGAGCAATGGGCGCGATTCCGGCGCTTGTTGGTGATCAGGGGGGTAAAGCTGTGGATTGTAATTATTTGTGTTTTTTCCATTTGGAATAGTTTTTCCGAATTTATTTTGGATGGTATATTTTTATATATTTTTGGGATTTGTTTGTTGATTATTTTTTTTTGTGTTTTTTAGTCTGGGGGGCAGTTATCCTTTCTATTTGCTGTATTTTGGGGCTAAAATCTTTCATTTGCATGCTCACTTGGCTTTTGGCTTTTGGCTTATGGCTTTTGGCTTTTGATTTTGGCTTTGGTTTCACTTGACTTTTGGCTTTTGGCTTTGGCCGTTGGCTTCACTTGGCTTTTGGCTGTTGTTGGTTTTTGGTTTTTGGTTCGCGTGGTTGTTGTACCTTTTACGCACTTCTGTGAAATGTGTGTGTGCGTGTAGTGTTGTAGTAGCAAAAAATATAACATTTCATAATTTCATTTCAGGAAAATCTTGGGCCTGCGCACTGCAAACATTGGAAAATCTAGAATGATTATTTTGTTATTTTTCGTCGGTTTTTTTTGTCATGTTTTGACATTCAGCTTGTCATTTTGGATTTATGTTGTCATTTTAATGTCATTTTTTGTTATTTCTTTGTCATTTTGGTTTGGGAAATGCAAAAAATCGCAAAAAAGTTTCCTAACCTGGGAAATGAAATGCCAAGGCAATGCAAAAAAGACTTCCAATTTGGGAAATGCAAAAAACCTGCAAACAATGCAAACAAAATGATCGTGTGCTCGCAAAGTCACGTTTTTTTTGACTTTCCAGCTAGGCTCCAGATCCAGGCACCCGCACCAGATGAGAACACGACAAGACTCGTGTGCTGACTTTCTAGGTCGGCTCCGGGTCCAGCCACCTGCGCCGGATGAGAAAACGACAAAAAAAAACAAGAAAATGACAACAAAATGACAAAACAAATGACAGCGCAAAACAGAAATCACAAAAAGATGCAAAACCACATGACAAAAAATGACAAAACATATATTCAACAACCCTCAGAATTTGCTGGTATTTTTTTCATAAATTTCATCGAATACAATGCCTATAAACTACATGTAAATTGCACAGAAACTACAGACGTAAAATGAGCTTATATGCATGCTGTTGTGAGAGGAATGGAGACCTGTTTTCAACGAGTGCCCTAACTACTTTCTCTTATTAAGTTCTTAAACCCGTATTTCAAGACACTACGTTTGCTTGACTTTCATGTCACAACGGTTGCATGGCAGGCAGATGTTTACTTTTGAGTGTATATGCATCTGCTTTGGCGGGGAGGCGCTGTGCCCTTGTTTTTGTTATGGACTGAACCTACCAGGGCATAGCATGAGTATTGGGCACAATTTGTATATATATATACATATATATATATTATATATACACATATATATATACTGTCAAGGCTCAAGAGAGAGATATAGAGGTATAGCTTGTACACTAGGCGCTGCACTAGCTATTGGCCGACAGAGGAAAACTAGTGCTTGCAGCCTGGGAAGACGTACCTGATCCTTGAAAACGCTATTGCCCCTCTTCAAGTGGTAGCGGAGCTGTGACTCTGCATTGCAGGTGAGCTCCAGGTAGAGCCCAACAATGGCAAGCCATGGCTATGATGATGATTTCGACATTGTCGATGCAGGTGGTTCATGGAACCAGTATGATTCTTACGCAATGAGAAGAGCGCCTCAACAACCAGCAATTCACATGACCCAACAGATGACCACGAAGGTTGCCCCTGCATATGATGGAAGGACCAGTTTCTTTGCTTTTGAGGATGCAATTGGCGTTTTCTGTGACATCACAGATTGGAACCTGAAAAACGTGGACCTGCATTGGGGAATAGATTAGAAGGTGATGAATCTCAGTACAAAAGACTACTGAACAGAGAGTTGTTCAGAGACCTAAATGACGGTGTGAACTATTCCAAGAGATTCTTGCGACCCGCCCAAACCGTGTTCTGATATCGACTCATTCAGTTCATGAAACACAACAGAGGCAAGACGGATGACCAGATTTCAACTCACAGGAGACAGACTCATTGAGTCTTGGATGGACTCTTACCGATTTGGAGATTACGAGTCCAGAAGTAATTGCGCATGTTGCGCAACGTCCTCAAGTTATGAAGCTGAACAGGTGAATCAGGCAGTCATTGTTGCAGCTACTCCAGGTGCAGAACCACAATTATTGTACCTTGGACAGATGAGATGGCATTGGCAGCATTTGTGGAACTCAACGCAGAGAGAAGAGCACAACAGAGAATGGCAGTTCCCTTGGGTGACAACTTGTCAGCATTGATTTTTGTAAGTCTGGCAGATTTGACGCAAGATCAAAGGAACACACTCACAAGTATCATGACACACCGTGGAAGAACATTAGATCAGTACAATGTGCAAGAACTCAGAGATTTATTCCTGGAAATGTTTTGCACAACGAGAACAGCAGCTGACAACCCTATGATGCAACCCTCTGGCATTGGACACGGACAGAGAAGGTCTTTCCTCGTTCTGGAAGAAGGTGAATTAGAAGGAACCGACGGCTATTGGGCCGAAGGTGATGAAGATGGTGCAGAAGGATTCGTGGATGCTTTAGAAGATGTTTTCGGGGATTAAGATGACGCTGAATTCACATGGTACCAGAGAAGGTTCCAAGGCAGACAGACCAGAAGAGGCAAAGGTAAAGGAAGAAAAGGAAAAAGAAAAGGCAGAGGAGGAAGAAGATTCATCAGATCAAGAAAAGGAAAAGGCCGAGGAAAAGGAAGAAAGAAAGGCCGCTCTCACATGGTGAGTGAGGAAGGATTGGAATGAAGGAGATGAATGGAATGGTTCATGGAATGATGGCTACTAGGCCGATGATCAGAACTGGAGTGAAGGCTATTGGGCCTATGAAGATCTGTACTTCATAGATGAGTGTGGATTGCGGATATTTCCAGAAGAAAGGAAAAGGGAAAGAAAAGAAAGGCAAGAAAGGGCAAGGATGATGAAGGCAAAGGGGGAAAACCAGGAGATGGAAAAGGACAATCCAACAATGTTCAACCTCAGACCTCATCAACTCCTGCTTTGCAGAATCGGCAGCAACAAGCTTATTGCTCTTCAGCCGCATCAAGCTCAGGGCATGGTTTTCTTGCATTTGCTGAGACTGATCTTGCGCGCGTGGATGTTTTGATAGCCACCTATGAAGAGCAAGAGTACAAGAGACGTACACGTCTGGAGGACAAAACCAACGTGATGCAGTGGCATGGCAAATCAGAGAAGAAAGTGAGAGGTTTCCTGTTTTGGTTGGAGAAGTTGGAGCAGTTCAATCAGCTCTACAACGGCGACCAGCGCCTGCCCAGAGCAGTTTGCAGACTGGCGAGGCTTCATGGAAGCCATTGGAGAAAGGCACTTTTTGATTTATGCATGGATACTCCGAAAACGTGGAGATACCATTGCAGTCTGAATACTCTGCAAAATCAGAGGAAACAGCTGGGGATAAGAGTGCTTTTTCTCATTTTATGCCACGCAGCCTGTTCCTAGCATGTGAGAATGGACTAGCTTTCACACAGAGAATTCTGCACCACCAAATGTATGTACCCTTGACCCTGGATGCACAAGAGCTATGGGCTCCCGAAAGGCAGTTGAAGCTTTCTGCAGATATGTTGATATTTACTATATGTATATTATATGTATATTATATGTATACTATATGTATACTATATGTATACTATATGTATATTATATGTATATTATGTGTACATTATATGTATGTTATATCTTTACATGTATATCATAAACATTCTGTAATTTATATATTCGCATACTATACAAATATATTTTAGATAGATAGATAGATAGTTAGGTAGATAGATAGATAGATAGGCAGAGAGAGATATATATATAATACCTGTGGTTCTTATCTAGAAGTTCCCCAAGGTGATCGTCAAACCCTTGATGCCAAATCCTTCACGCATGACGTCGGAAAATATGATGGCCAAGCATGTCCGGCCATCGTATTTTCCCACATCGTTTTTGACACCTGTGACATACTTCAGTGGAAATACAAAAATAATCCTGTTGAATACTTTTTTGTGGTTGGGGCTCCACCCTCTTGCACTGAATATAGCATTTGGAAGCAAACCGGTGCCATGAAGATTGAACAAGCTCGTGAAATAGTTATGAGAACTCTTGAGGCAATCAGATACTTCAAACCTAGGGTTTGCTTCATAGAAAGCCCCCAAACAGGGCTTTTGAAGAAGCAACCATTTTTGCAGGGTTCGCCATACATTGATGTGGATTATTGCAAGTATAGATTTCTTTACGGGAGAAGGACAAGACTTTGGACAAACTTGGGGTGGTAATAGGTTTAAAGAAAATGGTATAAACAAACTGCACACAGAGCACCTAGTAATAGCAAAGAGACTTGGCTTGAAAACTACACCTTGTTCAAGCAAAAGGATTTGTATAGAATTCTTCAACCATCAGTGCAAAAAAGTATGAATGCTATGCTTATTGCGTGTTTTAGCTAGTTACTGCGCCTTGCCACTAACAATATTGCGCCTTGCCACAAAAGGTGGGTAAATGGGAGGGTCTATATTACCTTGACGAATTGATATTGGAAAGAGCCAGACCCAAACTCTGGGTGAACTCGCCGAGGTTCTGCTGACAGAGGGGGGTAAAGAGGTTTGGCAGGAGGGGTGTGCATGTGTGTGCATATGTGGGGCCCTTCCTATTTCTTAAGTCTATATGATAATATATATATATATATATTTGTCAATTATGTCTTAAGAACATCTATCAAATCAATGTCATGAGAATCTATATATCAAAAAAGGCGGGGAAGGCCCTGAAAGTGCGAAGCACTGGAAAATATTTGTATCAATCTTGTTTGATCAATTATGATACTGGTAATCCACCGACCTTCATTGGGCGTGTGCGTCAGCGCCTTTTGTCACCTGACATCCTGACAGCAGGGGGGTGAATAAAGAAAAAATGTATTAAAACATGTTGGGAGTGTTCCTATGAAAATTGGTTGGGCCAGCATGGGCCAGCAGATATGATGCATTCATGATCCAATGCCCGTGAATTGTTTCCCCGGGTCGGCGGCAGGGGCGGCAGCCCTTAAGGACATGAGGTGTAAGTTTGTAAGTTTGCATCAAACTTACACTTTTGGGGTGTAAATTTAGGTTAAACTTACACTAAGCTTGCACATCACAAGTGTAAGTTTACATCAAACCTACATGTCAACACTGTAATTAAATTTGCACCAAACTGACACGCAGAAGTGGAAATTTACACTTGTACATGTAAGCCTGGTGCAAACATACACCTCAAGCATGTAAGTTTACATCAAACTTACACTCTTAACGATGTGTAATCAAGTTCAGTGAGAGTTTGATGTAGACATGCACTTCAAAAGTGTAAGTTTGATGCAACTTACATAAAAACTTACACCTCATGTCCTTGAACATCGCTGAAGAATCATGTTCTTTGCGCACAAACATGACAGTTGTTTATTCAAAAAATGTTATCCTTTTTGTCAAAAAACAACTTTAAACAATGTTTGAAAAAAACAGGGTTTCACCCAAAAAAAACAAACACCTTGTGGGATAGATTCTGCCCCCCTACGTGAATGAATTTTGATGGCAGGAGGGCCCCAAGTCATTGCAAAACAATTGTATTACAGTATATGTTTCAAGTAATATATTTGCCTGGGAAGGTCCAAGTGATTGATTAACTGTGGGTTGGATTGAGTCCTTCGCAAAGTAGATTTGAAGAAGAAAAATCCCGTAGTGATAGATGGGTTCTGGGCTGGACGGCCCTTTTCATGTCTTTATATAAATGAATAAAGCTGGGCAGCCCCAAACAGCCCTATTGTGCAGGACAATTCTAGGTACAATGACGTAGCCAAATTTAGCCTTGCTATAGTGCACCCAAATATAGATAGATATGCATACACACATTCACAGTAATTTGTATGCACAAAGTGTATCCGTAAATAGTCCCTGATCGAACCCTAACCAACCTAAACAAATTCAAAATAGACCCTTAAAAACACCAAAATAGACTTTAAACTAACCCAAAATGAACCCGAAACCAACCCTAAATCAAACCTAAACCAACCCTAAATAAATCCTAAGCCGACGCTATGACAACATCCATTGATACTATTCTGACCAACACGCTTGTGCCTCTACTTACAACATGTTCAGGAGGTGCATGTCGTGCATTGCATACACCCTGAGTACCGCATTGAACCTACAGCATTGCATGTGAGAGTAGGTATTGTCATGCTGCTATGACCACCGAAGAAGGTGATAAACACCATCGAAAGAAAGACATGACAAAAAACATGAGCAAATTTCTGAATCCACGGAAAAATCACTGAAGACCATCAAGAAATTGATGAAAACCATCCAGACATCATTGAAAACCCTGGGAAAATGGGTGAAAACCAAAATGTTGCAAATACCCCGTCCAAATTTGCGTTTTTAGCTCCGGAAAATTTTCGATTTTAGCTTCGAAATGCCGCAAATAGCACGCAAATGAGAGATTTTAGCTCCAAAAATTCAGCAAATAGCAAGCAAATCAGATATTTTGGCCCCGAAATATAGCAGATAGCAAGAAAAACTGCTTCAGATTG